GTGTCCGGAATTTCTTTCCTAGTTACATTTTGCTGCCATGTCTGCTCATGTGATCTCTGTTTCTGTCAAAAGATTCTAGAAGATAACTAAAATAATAATGCGGTTGAAAAATTGTCCTTTAGGAAAGTGAAATCTTACTGGGACCAGGGTTATTGGTTATTTCGCCCCAGGCAGGGCGAAACCTTGGGCAAGTTTCCTTACTCCACACGCCTAATAATAATCCCTCCAAAACAAAAAACAATAATAAATTGGTCATTTTCAATCTACGACTGTTTGTGGGACATTGCTGTGGGCAATTGGCTGCCGCATTTGCCCACAAATATACAGTCAATTCACTTTATAGTGTGTTCTGTGAAGCGCTTTGGACGTCCTCCTGTCGTGAAAAGCGCTGTATCAAATGCAAGGATTATTATTATTATTATTATTATTGGTAACTTGGAGCAGGAGAAGCACCTCCCAGCCTCCCAGAGCCTGAGTGGACTTTTGTGGACCATCACACTTTTACTTTATAGTTTCTGGGTGTTTTCATTATTGTAAGAGTATAAACAGACCAAGAACAGAGGTTGATGTTATCAGCAATTCATGGCATTTAATACAACAACAACTTTCATTTATATAGTGCCCTTCACGCGGGGAGGGGCTCGGAGTACTCAACAACAACAACAACAATTTGCACTTATTTAGCGCCCTCCACTCAGGGTAGCATCTCAGAGCGCTTAACAGTGGCGGAAGCTGACTCCGAGCTTGGGTGGGGGGGAGGTGGCCGTAAGCATGGTCGAAGAGGAAAGTTTTTAAGGCGGGAATGGAAAAAGGGGAGAGGGGGGGCAAGGCGGAGGGCTTGAGGGAGAGTGTTCCAGAGCTTTGGGGCATAGTGGCTGAAAGCGCGACCCCTGATGGTGGGGCGGAGGGTGTGAGGGATGAGCAGGAGGCAGGTGCCAGTCGAGCGGAGGTGCCAGGTGGTGGATTGGGGAGTGAGGAGGTCGGAGAGGTAGGAAGGTGCCAGAGAGTGAAGGGATTTGAACACGAGAGTGAGGATCTTGATGTTGATCCGTTCGGTGATGGGGAGCCAGTGGAGCCTGGCCAGAACTGGTGAGATGTAGGTAGTCTGATGCTGAGTTGGGGGGAAGGAGGAGGTGACCATAAGTATGATCGAAGAAGAAGTTTTCAGTCGTGATCTAAAAGAGCGGGAAAGGGGGAAAGATCAGGGGAGAGAGTTCCAGTTGGTGTGGCTGAAAGCATGGCCGCTGAGGTAATATGAAATGAGATGCATTGTTAAGGAAAAACAACAATTCCGTGCCAATCATGAGCTGGCCATTGTAAAGCACTGAACCTGGAAGTTTATTACTCTTCAAGTCTCAGACTTTCACACTTTGTGAGTCTTGCCTCCACAATGGACCATCAGGGCAGTACGATTTTGTTTTCAAAGAACTTCATCGCATGAAATTATCATTAAGAGATTATTTTTACAGTAATGGATTGCTGTAATTATTTGCTTGCTCATAAATGATTTAGTTGAAATAAGTGCACATTAGAATCAAGCAATGGAATTAATATTTTTGCTTAATTCCATTAAGCATTTCATTATTGAAATATTTAAGTAGTACTATGAGGTTTTGGATTTCACAATTTGATCAATTTACTAAACGGATGCTTATGAGAAAAGCTCTAAAAATCTCAGTTTTCATTGACAACTAAATGGAAGTGGTATTGAAGACTCAAAGGAGTAAATTGATTTGCTCAATACATATGAGCAATGAGAACAATGCATTTCAACATAAAAAGAAACATTTTCTAAACCATGGTGCCCTGCAAATAACTTTCTGCTTTATAAAGTGTAGCACAAGAAACAATTGCAACCCAATTCTTGTCACATACACAATGGCTCAGTTGAATGCTGAGGTAAAGAGTAGAGAGAAATAAGACCATAAGAGTTTAGGATGAGCAGTTCTGTGCCAGGCACTCCTGTAAATCTTGATGTTGTAAACACATATTATCCAGGAATACATTATACTTGCGTGAAATTGTAGGAACAGAACATTGAATATGGAAACCTTGGATGTTCTCCAAAGCACATGCAAATGGTCGTCCTTGACTTGACAATGGTGTCAGTGAATACAAGTGTACTATTAATTACTTGCTCATTATGTTTCTTTGTTTTAGTGAGTTGCTACAGTAATTTGCCTAATAACCTGATCATCAGTTACAGATACTCTGCTTTGCTATCAGAGCTTCAGTGAGTGATTATGAAGTCTTAAAGAGAAAGTTTAAGAGTTAAGAACATTAAAAAATGGTCTGTTATAATTTCCCAGGTGGTTCACCAGACCCCCGAATGCTTTAATAAACTGCAGGGAGAGACCACGATAGGATTCACACCTGTTAAACATAGACTGCAGCAAGTGCAAGTCAGACTGCTCCAGAAACCTCCTCTTGTAAGTGATGTGAGGAGGTAGATTCCTGCGATGATTCACACACGCTCATCCCCATTTGTGCCAACCGTCAGTGATGGCAATGATTTGCTGAAGTCCGTAGATTATGAATGCAGCTTTAGAGGGAGAGCTCACTCCACTTACTGATTTAACTGACTCCATCAATCTGACTCCCAGGAGAACGTAACACTGCTTTCTGGTTTATGGGAACTTTAGCCACAAAATTAATGTAGGAAGGATTTACCATGAAAGTCAATCCTTGCAGGACTATCATTTCACTCAAAAACAGACTACAATATATAAGAGCAGGTCAGGGATAGTTGTCCTGGCCAATAGTCACCCAAATGATGCAGTGAGTTGTTCGAATCTGGAACGCATTGCCTGAAAGGGTGGTGGAGGCCAATTTGATAACTACTTTTAAAAACGCGGTGGATGAGTATTTGAGGAGGATGGGTTTGCAGGGTTATGGGGAAAGGGCTGGGGAGTGGGATTGACATTAATTGCTCTATTCAAAGAGCCGGCACAGACTCGATGGGCCGAATTGCCTCTTTTTGTGCTGTACAATTCTATGATTCTATGATTTTATGAAATATTAAAAAAAATTGGTTACCCCCTCCATGGCTGTTTGTGGGTCATTGCTATGCGCAAACTGGCTACCGCGTTTCGCCCACAAAGCACACAGTCAAACCACTTTACAGTAAATCCTGTGAACAGTTTTGAGACTTCTTTTTGATGTGATAAAGCGCTATATCAAATGCAAAGATTATTATTGTTATTAAAACTGAGTTTAGATTTTCATGACGATTCAGAGGAGCTGCTGCAAGCCCTACTGCTTATTATCTTAGGCTGTGTGCAGCAAACAAACGAGAGTGGAAGACAAAAAGTAGAAGTCAGTAATGTAAAGGAGGAGATGAGGAAATGGGGAAAGAGCAGAGAAAAAGCAGAAGGAAAAACTGGTAAGAGAAACACAGGAATTAAGAAAAAAAAGCAAAGAGACATGAGAGGAAATGGAATATGAAAACAACCAGTTGGTTATAAATATTGTAGTGTTATCTCAGTTCAGTTTATTTTCTGTGTTTAACCAAGTGACACCATGCCAACAATCATATGAAAGCAGTTTACGCGTGTGCAGAGGTTTCCTTGGTGTGAAATCCATATGGAGCAACAGGTGGAGAGGAAGGTGAAAAGATATAGACAGGAATAATCTCAGTGAGATCTGGGAGTACTGCAATTAACATCCTACCCCGCTTGCTTCACTGTTTTTAAGTCTCTGAGATGTTACTTACTTTGTGGAGTCCTGTAGCTCAGTGGTTAAAGCACTCGCTTTGCAAGCGAGAGACCTGAGTTCAATTCCAGGCAGGGCCAAACCTTGGGCAAGTTTCCTTACTCCACACGCCTAATAATAATCCCTCCAAAACCCAAAACAATAATAAATTGGTCATTTTCAATCTACGACTGTTTGTGGGACATTGCTGCGCGCAATTGGCTGCTGCGTTCGCCCACAAATATACAGTCAATTCACTTTACAGTGTGTTCTGTGAAGCGCTTTGGGACGTCCTCCCGACGTGAAAAGCGCTATATCAAATGCAAGGATTATTATTATTATTATTCTACGTAGAGGGTGCTGTATAAATGCCAGTAGTTGTTATCGTCGTTGATAGGAGAATCAGAATGGGGCACATTAGTTGAAAATCTAGCATTCACTCCTTCAATTCACAAATAGAAACTTCTGTCATTAGCTTCTGCCAGGTTCCGCAAGCCCATTACCCCGTCCTTTCTCAACTCCACCAGCTCCCCATCTCACTGAGGTGGGTCAAATTGAAGATCCTCGTCCTCATATTCAAATTCCCGCATGCATTCGCCCCACCTCTGTGACCGGGGTCACAGTCAGTTGTGTAAGCTGTCTAGCGACATGCTCCTGATGTGAAAGGTGCAATATAAATATACATTGTAAACTGTAAATTAACCAGATGTCAATCATCCTGCCAACCCTTGAAAATCCTGAATCTACTTCATTGAACATCTAAGTGCAGATTTCCCACAGGTCATGGTGACGTAGTGGCAGGAATCACTATTTGAGAATCCAGTCGCACGCTTGGCCCAGTGTTTGTTATAAATAAAAGGGATTTTTTTTGGAATGCTTCGGCACAAGTAGCTATTGAGGCTAAGACCATAACAGCATTTCAATGGAATTTGATGCACAGTCAACAGGAACAATATTAGAGGGTATTGGCAAAGAATAGGGAATTGGGAATACAGTAGTTAGTTACAGGGGAGGAGGCTCATCCTAGGTTCACTGCTCTGTATGCACACCTTTGCTGTAATTTCTAATATTATATGAAAGAGGAAAATGCCTTTTTTGATTGTTTAAATATCAATTCCATCAATTGTCTAATATATTTTTTGCATGAACTGTTGATACATTTATGGCTATCATATACTGTTGTGCTTTGTTAATAATGGATCTGTTTTGCCAGGATATATGCTTTCTGTTTCCCAGCATTGAAATTGAATGTACAATGAAAAGAAATTAACTAGAGGTTAGGAGAAGGCAACGAAAACTCTGGAGAAAAAATGTTGCAAATTTTGAAAACGGGAACCATATGCAATAGTTATTCTTTCGTGGAAAAGAGTCAAGAATGTTCCCAGAACAGAAGTGACATATTTGAGGTAAGTGTGGTTAAGTGAAACTGTTCAAACAAAAAACAATGAAACATGAATCTACCCTTTTTGCACAAAAATATTAGAAATGTAACATTTGGGCATGAACTCTTGTGTATTCAAATTCAGAATGTAATATTTCCAACACTTCTGATCAAACAGAGCTCTTAATCTACGCTCAATGACAGCATTGATTCTGAAATACTGTATCATTCTGTCTCTCAGGTGATTGCTGCTGGGGATGTGAAATCTGTTGAAAGGCTAATGGAGAAGGACCATGATTGCCTCAACAGATTGGATGAAGATAAATCGACCCCACTGCATCATGCCGCAGGAGGAGGTCACCTTGACATTCTCAAACTTATCATTGACGACGCTGACTTTGAAGGTAAGCTGTCACTGGTTGATAAAATACAAGAAAGTGGGGATTCTTGATTGGATTCCAACATAAAGTATAATGAGCTGTTTAGCCAAGTCACTCTTTAATAATGGGTCATCACATTTAATGTCTGTGTTATATCTTCAATAAATGATAATTTTTGGATGTTCCTTCATAACAATATTGATTTGCACTGAATTCGGTTCAATGCATGTCTCCTGAGCACATTGTTCTTATAAACTAAATTGAAGGTACAGTCGAGATTCCAAAAGTCAATTTAGAGACAACTTTATAAATGACTCTAATTTTAAATCTGACATGAGTATCTCATAAAACACTGTTATTTTTTATTTGTTAAGACCAACTACCTCAATATCTCTTGTGAAATATTGGTTGAATATTAGATTTAAGGAATGATGCTAGTATAAGTGCTTCGGGGATATTTTATTGCTTGTTTTGAGTAGACTACCATTAGCTCAGCAAATACAGCATGAATCAATAAAAATAATCGTGGAGTTACTTATTACCATGCACACTTATATCTGTATTCAATATTGATCTAATATTAACTTTCTCAGCTTCCTTCCTTAGTCTCGGTAGACTTCCTTACTTTTATCTTGGTAGAGCTCAAACGTAAACATTAATAACAGGCTTCCACCAAGTTATTAGATCTTTTAATTCCGTTTCATAGAAATATAGGAACAGGAGTAGCCATTCAGTTTTTATTAATTTTATTTAAAAAAATTAATTTCCCTGCTTTGTCTTGAAATTGTCCTCAAACACCTTACCCTTGCTTTTTAAGTTTCCACCTGGTTTCCTTTTAAACATCCCAATTGATTTTGTCTGTATTGTCATATTTTACAACCCAAATGTTGGGCAAGTTTCCTTACTCCACACACCTCTCTTTATCTATAAATAAGTAGGAATCCGGTTGTTAGTCGATTGGCAGACTGCTTTTCTGGGGATAATAATCCCTAAAAAAAAAGTTTGGTCACTCAATCCATGATGTTTGTGGGACACTGCTGTGCTCAATTGGCTCTTGCTTTTTACCCACAAATATAGTCAATTCACTTTACAGTATATTCTGTGAGATGTCTAGAAGATGTGAAAAGTGCTATATCAAATGCAAGGATTATTATTATCATCTGTGGAGCAGATTAAGCTTGCGGTGTATTAGCCATGTGTCCAAACAATTCTCCTTTATGGTTTCAAAATCCTGGGCATGCAGCGGGGGGAGGGGCGGGAGGGAGATTCCTTAAGCCCAGGACCAACAACAACTCGCATTTATATAGTGTCCTTCATGGAGGGAGTCTCAGGACATTTAAAGTGTCTGGGATTTGTGGTAAAACAGAGAAGTGGCTGTTGGAAAAGGGGGGTAGGAGGACTTCAGCCTACAATGGACCTGTTGCTGAGCACCTTGAAGACAGAGTTGGCTTCCAGATGGCACAACTATTTGCTGAAGTCTCCCACATGTGGACCTCGATCAAACAGTTGGTGTTGAGTTAGCTTGGTATGTAGTGATGGACTTGGAACTCTAGAACATCAAGGTGACTGGCACTTCACAACTGACCTGTATAGGTCCTCCCACCACACTGATGGTAGGGAGTTACTGTTACTGCTGTCTACCTATGAGGGCTCTAGCCTGGGCTTCATGGATGTCAAATGAATGACTAGTGGTTGTCCTCTTTGAGGAGGACGTAAGCAGGGTCTCCCTCAGGCTGAGGTGGCTCCAAGATGACATACATCAGAAGCAATTGGAGGGGCAGACGAGTTACCTGGGCAACGATTTTTTCCCTTGGTTTGTGTTAACCTTATAAGCCAAATCCCTTTCAAGTAGGAAGGTTCCTAACCACAGGCCTTAAATAAATATTGGAACATGTTTAAGAATCCCTAGTATGAAAATATATGATCAAAATGGATAACGCATTTAAAAAGGGTTTAAAAGAGCGATAGAATAAACCGGAAAATAAATCTTAAGGGAGAAAGGAATACAAATATAAAAAGTGAACAAGAATGAAGAAGAAAGGGTAATGCCAGCGGTCAACCTTTTGGAAGAAGATTCAGAAAGTGGAAAAAAATAAAACTAGGGAGGAACGAAAAGTTAACCAAAGAAGGAAAAGCAAACTGGAATATTTCCAAATATAAAAGAAAGTCTAAGTAAAAGAAGAAATTAATAGAGTACAAGAAATCAGATAACAAAAAAAATTTGCATTTATATAGCATTTCTCATGCAGATCAGCTTCCCAGAACGCTTGACAGTGGTGAAGCACGATATCGAGCCGGGTGGGTGGGGGGTGGTGGGGGAGGTGACTACGCACGGTTGAAGAGGAAAGTCTTCAGGCTTATTATTTATTATTAGCATAACTAATCTGCTAGTGGTCAGGTTTCAGGCTTATTCCAACAAAGTTAATTAATACTGAAAATGCAGGCACCGTGCTTGAGTGAAGCCCCATGTTACAGGTTAATGATCGTAAATTACTTTTATGCTGATGTAGGAGCCGCTGAGTCTCCTCAGTAAGGTCATACATCTGCCTGTCACTGCTTTGTGAGTCTGTGATTTCACGATTCTAATCTATGGATGTACCTCTCACATTCTGCACCGCACACTAAATTGCATTCTGATGCCAATGACTTGACCGTTGAATTTTTTTTATTTATCGGGAAAGCTTGCAACGGCAACTACTGGGGCACCCTCTGGAGAGTTCTGTGGACGTGTGTCTTGTTTTGATACCAAAATTGACTGCAGCAAGCAGAAATGTGCCTATAAAATGTAATGAAATACAATGAAACCTCTAATTGTATGTGACACCAGATGAGTTTCCAATGCAGTGCATGTGAAAAAAAATGTAAGAATCTGTTATGGTAACGAAATGTAGCTGCGTCACAGTATTCAGGCTGGTCAAGAGTTTGTAAGTGTCAATTGTTCTATGAGTTTATTCCCTTTCTGTGATGTTTTGAAGAACAAGTTGATTGAACAAGTTGAGAGTGCTGGGTCATTAGTGAACCTCCCTAGTGAAGTCGCACCTAGGGCTGTAAATATGCATTTGCAGCCTCTTCTGCACAATTTCCGTGGCAAACGTATTAGGCAAGATTCCTAAGCTCATTAGGTGGTGTCCCTTCTCCCTCATGGGAAAATCTACCTAATTGAGCATTGCGAAGAGAGCGTGCGGGGCAGAATGCTAACACTCTCAAAGAGGGGAAACGTACCCACAAACCTTCACAAAACGACCACGGAAGTACGTTGCCTCAGAGGTTTCCAGCTTTTCAAGCTATCTAAAGTATACGATTTGCAAACTGATGAATGGAAGTGACATATGGGCAATTCCGAGTTTAGAAAAAAACACACAAAAAATGCAGTAAATTCAGAATCTTTTCTGAAAAGGGTTATCATTATGACAATTGCACTTGGCTCACATCATCGAATTCACAGGAATGAGCGCACAATGCAGAACCACCCCCTATATAGTGCTTTGTTCTCCTTTTCAGTTTTGAATGTGATTGATTCCAATGGAAACACCGCATTGCATTGGGCGACAGAGAAAAATCAAGTGAAATGTGTTCAAGGTCTACTTGACAGAGGTGCCAATCCAAATATTTTGAATAATGCCCTCTTGTCGCCCCTTCATGTGGCAGTAAATTTACATCATTCTGCAGTGTTGGAGGTAAGAGCAATAATGTATTTTTGAATGTATGTCCTTACGTTTCTAATTAGACTTCTCATATTTTTTGGTGCGAACAATATTCTGCACATCACCTGGGTCTCCGAGTCTAATATACAATTATTCAGGTGAAAAACCTGATAGGAAGTATGCTCTTAGTTATCTGCCTGTGCCTCTGTGTAATTTCAACTTGGACATTAACATAGAGAGGCTTGAGAAAACTTATGTACTGATTATTCATTAATGTCTCTGTTTCTCTGCATTGCCAACTGGGAGAACGATGGGGCTAACATATGGCACTGCTGTGAGGTAGCCCTATCAAACACCTTTGCCAAAAACACAGTAACATTCCCATAGAAATTCTATTTTATTTGCTATCAACTCAAACACAGCTACTCACAATTTCAAATAGCTTGTACAGGTAGATAAATGGGCTGGCATCCACACTGAAGAGTTTCCTTCTGGAAAAAGAAAAATGCAGCAGACTTTGAAGATGTAATAGACAAAGAGGAGTGGGAATCTTGACTTATTACAATTTAAAACAAAAAGACAACAGCTGAATATTTTAGGGAGGATGTACTGGACTTCTGAGCATTTGCAAATATTCTGCTCCAATACAAAATTACATTTGTAAAGCGCCTTTCATGTCAGGAGGACGTCCTAATGCGCTGTACAGTCAGGGATTTGGTCCTGAGCCGGGGGGGTGGTGGGGGTGTAGGTTGGCATAGTTCAATGGATGCCAACCTGGCCGAACAGATGAAGGTCGCAGTACCTGTTCAGTAATTAGTGGGAGCTGTTATTTGATACAACATCTCTAAATCTAAATGATTCACACCTGCAGGAAATGTGCTAAAGACTGGAAAATGACACTTTTTGTCTCGCATCTATGAACAATATGCAATATCAGTAACTTTCTTTTGTGACATTATCCACTCTCCAGGTTCTAGCTTCAAACAAAACTTCAGATCTGAACCTGGCAGGTGAACTCGAGAATACTCCAGTTATGCTAGCATGTTCCATAGATAATCACGAAGGCATATCCATATTGGTGTGTATCTTTTGTCTTATTAATGCTAGATCTACTGTGCTCTTTGTGAATTTAAACTGACGCATATAACAAAAGAGAAGAGGACTTCTTGACTTGAAGTTCTGTAAATATTCAATTTAATTATCCTTCTTTTAAATCAAAATTGAAGTTGAGCAGACTAGCGGTGTAACTGGTTGATGTCGGAACTTGAAATGCCACCGAATGATCAAGCATAACTTTCTAATTTTGCCATGGTTGTTGGGAAAACATTTAAGCAGAGATGAGGAGAGCCAAGAGAGAACTGTGAAGTGACATAGCAGTATTTGTAAACTGCAGGCAACCCTGTTTTCTGAATAAGGGTTTGTTCATGTGTGTAGAATTTCCAAGTGTATAGAAAAATATAGTGCAGTTTTATAAAGTCGTAAAACAGTTAGAAAATAGAAATTGTTACTGTTTCCGTGGGCCACAAATTTTCACAGACCCATGTTTAGACACCCGCTAGACTCCGAGCTCACTGAGCAATGGATCTGGTTGCTGAAAAGGATGTCAGTACAAGTTTGGGGGGCTTTTCTCATAATCTAGGTAGGCTATCACTCTAATACACCGCTGGGAGAGTATGTTACATTGAAATCCCGTCTGCTTGTTCAGGTGTACGTTAAAGATCCCATGCCACGATTCAAAAAGAGAAGGGAGTTCTCTTGGTATCCTGGCCATCAATCCCCCAGGTTAAAACAAATAGTCATTTACTTCACAGCTGTTTGTGGGACACTGGTGTGCGCAAATTGGCTGCTGCATTTGCCTGCAAATATCAGTCACTAAACTTGAAAGAAAATTCTGTGACACATTCTTGACATGATAAGGTTCCATTGTATATCAAATGCAGAATTATTATTGTTCTATAAGATGCTCAAAAGTAGGAAATCAGATTCAGCTCAAATGAACTGTTTTCTTAAAAAGAGTTAGATAGGATTTGTAAAGGAGGAGAGCAGATATCTTTAAAGGTGGCTGTAAAATAAGTCCTTGGACTGTGCCACATGGCAGTGCATGCCATGCAGGTAGTTATTTTATCAGAGCATGCTAACCATCTGCTCGAGGCAATTGGTTCCAGTTGGTTTTTATTGTGTTTATTTATACTATAAATATGGCAACATAATATTTGTTACTCAACTTATCCAACGCCCTATTTGCCGGTCTCCTCAGCTCCAGCGTTCACAACCTTCATATCAAAAATAATAATAATCCATGTATTTGACGTAGCGCCTTATTATGTTGCTGAGACGTCTCAAAGAGCTTCACAAAATATCCTGTGAATTGGATTGATTGTGTATATTGTGGGTGAAACCCGGCAGCCAATTGCATGCAGCAGTTTATTATATTATTAAATCATCCAAAAATCTAAGGCGTGTATCCACTCCTACATTGGGCTCCATGACCCCATCATCTCCATCCTCACCCAGCTCCACTGGCTCCCTATCCACTAGTCACTAGTGGATAGGATAACTTTAATATCCTTGCTCTTCGCTTCAAATCCATCCATGGCATTGACCCACCCTATTTCTGTCATCCTCTGTGATCCTACTCTTCCTGCAACTTTGTCTGCTGCGCTAACTCTGATCTTCTTAATTTCCTCCCCTTTCCTGCCTGCTCTGTTGCCCATCAGTGGGTGGGCTTTCAGAAATTTTAACCTTGCTCTCTGGAATTCTCTTCCTACATCCCTGTGCCTAACTTCATCTTTCTCTTTGATTTCGAAACCTGGAAAGACCTAACTCTTTGACTGCACCTTCCCCCCTACTCTTTCACCCCTACTAACAGCTCAGGCTCTCACTCGTAGGGGACTGTTGATTTGTGCTAGAGGAAGCTCAGCCCACACCACCCCCCAATGTATCTCGCAGCTCACCAACTTTTCTCCAGTTTCGGCTAATGGGATATGGCAGGCACAGAGGGCTGTTGCTGACCTATGAGTGGGAGCCTTATGCTAGTAGTGGAGGTGAAAGAATAATGGCCCGTGAAGTAAAGGAAGTGTAGCAGTAAATGAGTTGAGTGAGTGGCATTTGGATCCAGTAGCGACACACAACAACAACAATAAATTACACTTGTACAGCGCCCTTCACTTCGGAAAGACATCCCAGACACACACACGCACTCACTCACAGACACTCCTTCAGCATGTTCATGGAGAAACTGGGCTCAGCTCAGCCACACCCCAAAGAATATCTTCACCTGCTACCTATGCTCCCACTCCACCTTTGTAGAGTGAATTGAGACGTTCTCCCTTTGTGCAAGACGCTCTATAATTACAATTTTTTTNAATGTTTAAAACAATGTGGCTGATTTTATTCTTCTTTCCATGTATTAATATTTAGTTGAGTCATGGAGCATCCCTTTGTAAACAGAACAAGCTGGGGCATAGTGCTTTGCACCAAGCTGCTTTTTCAGGTGCTAAAAAGTCACTGGAATTGATACTTCGGAAAGGTCAGTGTGAATTGAAGTGTTACTGATTGAAGGGTCCATTTTTGTTTATGATTTTAACCACTATGTATTGCCCAAGCAGTATAATCACATAGCATTTGTCTTCCAAGGTATGGACATGGGTTACACTTCTGAATATCTTTTAAACATCCCCGACAAAACCCACTGCAGTCCCCTTCACTTGGCTTTGCATGGTGGAAATATGGAGACGATCAAAATCTGTATTGAGAATGGGGCAAAGCTTGATTTTCAGCAGGTATGTGCTTATCAAACAGTAGAGTTAGTCTGTTCCATCAGCTCATGCAGAGAAGTTACTGTCAGTCGCTGTCAGAAAATCGTTGTTTGCTCTATTTTCTGCTAAAATTTAGTGGCAGAGCAGTTCAAAACTTCAGTGTTCCTCACAGGCAATGTTCTTTTATCTTGACAATGTCCATTGTTTACCTATTGTAACAATACTGAATTCTTTCCCATGTCCCATTTGTATGCAAAATCAACTTATATTCAATACAGACATATAAAAGGTCTTCTATTCAAGATGAATAGATACCCAGGAGTGGGCAGCAATCACACTGAGGTTTTGAGAGGCCACTGTTACAGAAGCCAAAGAAACTTTAACCACCTTCTGAACGTTGAGACATTAATTCCCGATAGTTACTCCCATACATCCAGTATACTTTATAGTTTGGTTGTAGAATTTGGGTTTTGGTTGCTTTTCTTTGCTTTCTTTGCTGGTACCAACAGAGTTCGGTGGACAGGATGCTTCAAGCACATCCCTACCTGCGTGTTCCATCAACAGTCACTGAATAACAATTACAACAGGGAATCCTAATAGATTTTTTTTTCTCTTCCTAGCCTGGAGCGTTGAATCAATTCTGGTGTCTCCGCTCTCTCAGCTGGGATCAGACAATTCGTCACTGACCATTTATTGAACTTTCCTGGTCTGCGTGACTCAATATGCATTTATCCCTTGATCCATCAGTCAGCCAAGAAAAGCCTTTGAGGAAGGTTTTATATGAACCAGCTGTACCAATTGGCCCAAAATGAATTAAATAATAAATGACCACAGTGAGATGATTTTTTAATACAGTAGTTGCAAGAGGTTAGAGGTATCATGTAGATTCTATAATCTACATTGAGGCTGTTAGAATGGGCAGGTATTGTGAATAACTATGTTTCCTTTGTGTTTTTAATTCACAGGATGATATACCTGCTCCTCTTCACTTTGCCTGTATGCAGGGGCAAATTAAGGTGGTTAAACTCATCCTGTCCAAGTTCACCGCAGCAAACAGTATACTCAATGTCCTGGATGACGTGAAACAAACACCATTACACAAGTAAGACATTAATGACTGAAAGTTTAGTTTATTGATTACAAGTGATTTCTGCAAAATGCAATTCTTTGCAAAGGCAGGTTTGTTATGTGTTCTGTCATTCTCACACACAGGGCTGCAATGTACGACCACTCGCATTTGGTGGAATACTTGATTGAACAGGTAATGCAACTCAGGTCCGATAAGCAGTTACAAATACTAACTTGTTCGTTCATTGCTTTACGTTGCGAAAATGGTCCAGATTTAAACTGGAAATGAACAGATGACAAAATCTATTCCCTTTGCATAATCTTCCTCCACCATCGCTAGTCTCTTTCTAAATACTTCTCTGTATTTTCTTGCTCCCTCTCTTTCTCCACATTGTCGCTCAGCTGATTTCCATTTTCTTTCACACTCTGGGATGCAAATTGTGTGGTGTGTTCATTGACACTGGTGTGAAATAACACATTGTTGAAAAATGCGCTCAGTCAATGTTTCAGTTACTAAATCGTCTACGGATGTGACCACACCCTTCTCCCCCCACCCCCCCCTCTCCACTCCAATTCTGTCACAATCATTGGGCTTGAAGTTGTCCTTGCCACAAATTAGATTGCCAATTCAGACCATGGACTTCCATCTTTCTCCCTGGCTTTTTTTTTTGCAGACCTCAATAAAAATAATCATCCCTATCAAAATTCCATTGACATCTCCGCACACATTCACCTGAAATTCAAGATTTTTTTTCTCTAGTATTTTGTCACACCATTTCTCAAAGTCTAACCGAATTTATGCCCTGTCGATGTTCAAGCAGCACATGTCATGAATCATTGTTAGTGTGGAGGCTTGCTCCTCACAAAATCTTACAAGTGACTCGTCCATTAACTAGTCTGGACAAAGAGAAAACTTGTGTGTATTTCATTGGCAATAAAGGGCTGTGCTTCTTTTATAAAGACAACGGCAAAGAAAACTCATGTAATAACATGGATAAAGTAAACATTGCTTATTTTTAGTTATGCAGAATTGTACATATTACATTTGATCAAGCTGATCATAGGTGCAATAGACATGAAATGATTCCCAGTTTTTCAGTGGCATGAATGAGAATTTACCATTACTGTTCCACTGAGATAATTCCTTTGAAAACAGATGCCAAATGAATGCATTGTTAGAATTGACTCTTCCTATGTTCACGCCTTCTGGATTATTCCAACACCCTGACTCCTCTCTACTCAAACTCCAGATGATCCAGAACTCCTCAGTCTGTGTCCTCTTCCACACCAGGCTCATCAAATCGATCCTTGCTCAGTTCCACAGACTCCTCAACCTGCAGCAGGTTGAATTCAAGATCCTTGTCCTCATATTCAAACCCACCCATGACCTCACCCCACCCTACCTCTGCAATCTTTTGCAACCCTACTGACCCATCCACTCCGTCCTCTCAGGAAAAAACACAGGCCTGATTTATGTCCCTGCTTGATCTGCTCGACCATCAGCCCACTTTAAGACTTACCACTTTAAAGCTCTTTTACACAACAGGCTGGGCAGAACTTTTAGTGTGGTCAAAGTGGTAAGTTTATGTGGCCAAAGGGGTTTAGCTTAGTGTGGCCCCTATGATCCCCCCCACCCCCCGTCTGTGTGCCCGGCCTGTTGAGTAAAAAGCTTTGAGATGTCCTCCTGACATGAAAGGCGCAATATAAATGTAAATTGTATTGTACATTGCATGTGCCAGAGCAATATAAATATTAAGTCTGGATTTGGTTGCTTTGCTATTGGTTTAGTTATACTGAACATTTAAACTGTTGCATTAACTTTGATTAAAGAGCTCGTCTTTTTAAAATAATAGTAATATATGAAGCTGGCAGTTAAAAAATATTACAAAACTACCAAAGAAAAAAGTCACTGTGGTGAAAGATATGGTACATGATGTGATAGTGTGATCAGGGTGTTGGAATAATTCACCTTGCCTCCTCCTTCCCTATCTTCAGATCACACCTGAAGACCTTCCTCTTCAACCGTGCTTGCGGTTACCTTTCCCTGGTTCGTCGTCAGGCTCTGCCACTGTTCAGGGTTCTGAGACTCTACCCTGCCTGAAATGTGCTGTATTAATGCAAGTCATTGTTTTTGATAATTATCACTGGTGATGACTGGCTTGGGAAGCACTCTCCCAACTTTGTTCAAATAGTTTTGCTCAAAAGCCACTTGCTGCAGCTATTGAGCCAGCCAGTCTGGAAACTAAAAAGATTAAAGGTTATTCGATTTTAGACACAGATGCATGAAAAAAAACCTTGTGGGAAATTAGATGAGAAGATTAGATTGACCGACATCCTATTTCTAACTGAAATTGTTATTGCGTTACTGAAAGGAAAATAAATATTTGACTATACAAAGATATAATGATAGTAAATATGAACACAAGAAAATGTGCAGGAAGCTGGAGCTTAAATGTTCAATGATTACTTCATTTGTGCCTGAGTAAATGAGCCTTCTGTTTCCTCTAACAGGGAGCAGAGATGAATATCGTTGACTGTGAAACTCGCACCCCTCTTTTATGGGCTGCAAGCCGTGGATCCTGGAAAAGTGTGAAAGTTCTGCTGGCAAGAGGTCAAGCCTTAATAATAATAACGCTAATATTCCTTGCATTTGATATCGCGCCTTTTCATGTCGCTAGCACGTCTCAAAGCGCTTCACAGAATATACTGAAAAGTGAAACAAAAACAGAAGTTGCTGGGAACACTCAGCAGGTCAGGCAGCATCTATGGAGAAAGGAAAGTGAGTCAACATTTTGGGTCTGCGACCTTTTGTTGCGTTTTGTTTATACTGTAAAGTGAATTGACTGTATATTTTGTGGGGAAACACGGCAGCCAATTGTCTGTTTATATGTCACTGGAAGAAAAATAAATATTTGACTGCGCAAAGATATAATGATAGTAAAGATGAACACAAGAACATGTGGAGGAAGCTGCAGCTTGTGTGTCCACGTGTGGCTATGTGAGGAGGAAGCCCATTTATGGTTGTTTACTGCTTGCACAAGGCTCTGTCTGAATGCCATGATTGAACAGAAAGTAGCTATAATCTTAAGATGACCTACCTTGCTCACATAAGATATAAGTAAAATAAGGGATGGATAGTTTAGATTTTATCGCAGCTGTTTAAAAACAGCCATGGTACAATATAGCCCCAAAATCTTTGATTTTTTTCCATGAGGTTTGTGGAGACCCATTATGTTTGTCAATCTGTGGAGAAATCTTTTCTTCCTCTCTCCGCTGTGAGATGTCACTGCCATTGACTCTGCAGTAAAACAATACTAAATTACTCTGGAAATGCAATTGATTTGTGAGATCTCAACAGAAACCAGATGAACAAAGAAAAAAATCCCAACTTCTCGTTAGAGCTCAATATTTAACAAGAGTTTAACATGCAGGAGTTTCTATGACCACAGGGATGCAGTGTGGCCCACAAAACTGAGCACCCACAACCTTACCTATATTTGACAACTGTGGCTGAATTCTTCTGGTCCTTAAGATAAAGCAAAGACTCTAACCTCAGCAAAGCCGGGTAGAGACTTCCTTTAAATCCAATTGAGGTGGAAATTGTGGGTATTCCTAATCACATTCCATTCCTTCATTAATGGTGTTTCTTAATTAATTCAGGAATGCTCAGCTAAAATTCTGCCTGGATCTAGATTGATTCTACTGATATAGCATTTCGGAGCATCCAGAATTTCGCACATTGTTGAATTGAGTCTTAAATTTTGAAGCCAATGTTCCTTTAGTTCTTAAAAGAACTGAGGTTTGGGCGTGACAACTGCCCCCATCCCCCACATGCCTCCCAGCTCCCCGCCCCCTAACTTCTGGAGAATGTTTTTGCTCATGAGTTCTGCCCATTCAAAGCCCAGATGCCTTCACTGCAAGTTGTGGTAATGAAGTTTCAACCCTGCCCCACCAGATGCTAGCCTGTGCAGGTGCAGTGTGTGTTGTTTTCTGGTTCCCCCATGTCAAGTTCCCAACCGCAGGTTTTATCATTCGGAGAGGTACAAGCTCGGTAAAGAAACCTTTGAAAATACAAGAAATAATTGTACAATGGTTATTTACAATTTAATTAAATGGCAGATGTTATAAGTAGAAGCAAGGCATGTTTGCAACATATTACCTTTCATGAATCAGTCATCAAAGAGATTTATCATGGCAAGCAGCCGTATGTGCAAATACTGGAATTATTTTTATCCTTGTGGTAAAATTTGAAGACCAAGGGCTATTCTATCCTTTTGACATAGAATGGGAGAAAAATCCAACCAAGAGTATTTCGCCCACAGAATATTCAGTCAATTCACTTTACAGTATATTCTGTGAAGTGCTTTGTGACGTCTCAACAACATGATATCAAATACGAGGATTATTATTATTATTTAGTGATTCTAAGAGGCTTTGCTAGCTTCAGTAGTGAAAGTATTCTGTTTAAATATGTTTTAAAACTCAATAGCAATACCTACGTCTACCTAATTTATAAAGAGACATTTTTGATATTGTGATTTCTGTAGGAGCGAATGTGAAAATAAAGAATGATGCTGGCTGCAACTTCTTTCATCTAACTCTGCTGCAACCCGGAGGTCTGAAAAATCTCGGTCAGGAAATTCTATCGGTAAGACACTTTTGCTTCATTCAATGTGGTGTCCATCCCACAGTACCACAGTCTCACTCCCTCCCTTGCCTCCTTTAAAGCCTGTCTCAAGACCCGCCTTTTCGACTATGCCTTCGGTCATTCTCCTACCCTCCCTGCCCTCCCAAGCACTTGTCCAAATTCCTGACTGTCCAGTGCCTTGGGACATCCGACATGAAAAGCGCTACATAAGAACATAAGAATTTCCTGGTGAAACAAAACCAAGGTCCATCTAGTTTGTCTTTCACAACCCTGGCAGTCGCTTGACACGTTGTGTCCCAAACTATACATTGTATACCGAGATATTATTTTCTAGCAGAAACCTATCTAATTTGTTCTTGAAACAAATGACATCTTCTGCTTCCACCGTCTCCCTCGGGAGCCTGTTCCTTAAGTTTACTACTCACTCATTGAAGCAGTGTTTCTGCAGATTTGTTCTTAATTTACCCCCCTTCAATCACAGGTTTTACTGTTCAGTACAAGATAAAACAGCTTATCATGGTCTACATTATCTATTCCTTTCAGATTCTTAAAGACTAGAATCATATCGCCCCTCAAACTTCTCTTCTCCAGCGTGATCATGCCCAGCAATTTATCTAATCGTTCCCTGTAGTCCAGTCCCTCCATCATTTTGGTTGCTCTCCTCTGTCTCCTCTCAATGGCTGCAATATTGTTTTTATATTGCAGTGCCCAGAACTGCACACAGAATTCCAAATGCGGTCGTACCAGTGATGTATAAAGTGGCAGGATTACCCCACTATTTTGGCTCAATATTGCTCTTTTAATATAGCCTAGCATGTTGTTTGCTTTACATCGAGCACTTTTGGGATACCTTCAATTTATTATCAATCAGGATCCCCAGGTCCTTTTCTTTTTCCATGCTGATTATTTTCTTACCGTTTAAATAATAGTCCATTCCTGGATTTTTTGTCCTCACGTGAATCACTTTGCATTTCTCTACATCAAATTGCACTTCTCTACATCAAATTGCATCTGCCCTCAATCTGCCCAATTCCCGAGAATGGCTACACAAATATAACTGAATAATATTAATAATAATCCTTGCATTTGATATCATGCTTTATCACATCTTCGAGACATCTCAAAGCATTTCACAGAATACACTGTAAAGTGGATTGACTGTGCATTTTGTGGATGAAATGCAGCATCCAATTGTACACAGCAGTGTCCCACAACCAGTCATGAATTGAGTGACCACTTTCGTATTATTTTTATTCATTTATTTTTTGGAGGGATCACCCCCAGAAAAGCAATCCGCCAATAGACTAACAACCGGGTTCCTACTTACTGCAAGATAAACTGAGGCGTGTGGAGTAAAGAAACTTTCCCAACGTTTTGCCCAAAGTTGCTGTGTCCTTTTCTACTAATTAAAATTAATCTCTTCACACCATAGCACATCGCTATCTCTCTGATCTTCTCCTACTCACCTTCTCAGCTCCACCACCAGTAGCCGAGAATTCAGCTACTTAGACCCTAGTACTGTGTCTCCCCACGCCCCCCCCCACCACCCACCCGTATCGGTCGTTAAATGTTGTCTTAAAATCTACCTCTTAGGCCATGCCTATAGTCATTTCTCTCCCTTCTCTCCTCACACTCTCCCTTGTGGAGCATCCCACCTCATCATTATTAAGTGCTTTGAGTCATTACCCTACATGAAAGACTCTCTACAAATGCAAGTATTTATTCCTACAAATTGCTCTTTCTTCAGAAGCAATACTGCCTCAAATACTGCCGGATAATTTATTGATTCTGATTAGCGATTTTTCTGAATTATGTTTAACAGTTTAAGGAGATAATGCATTTCTCTATGAAGAGTTTTATTTTGATCCATGTCACAATTCTGATCTTTTCTTACTTTAACATTAATAATCTGCTCTTTCAGTGCGAATATATTCAGGAGCTGTTGTATGACCAAGATATCGATGGCTGTACTCCGCTTCATTATGCCTGCCGTCAGGGATTATTGGATTCGGTGGATAAAATAATGAATTTAAAAATGTGTCTTCACATCAAAACAAAGGATAAGAAAACACCATTGCATTTTGCCGCAGGGTAGGGAATCATTTGTCTTCAGTTCCTGCCTTTAGTTGTCAAGATTCACACAACAAACACACACTTAGTACATTTTATGGTAAATCCCGTGAAGCACATCCCCCCTGACTTTAGAGCTACTATAGAATACACTTAAAACAAAAAGGAAGAACCTATTTTATGGCGTATTGCTCTGTGTTTTTATAGAAAAATAATGTTTAGTGCAGCAATGAAATGCTATAACATTGAAAATAACAGATTGATAGATAGAAAATGTACAGAGAGAGCTTTATAATTGAGTGTCGTTATAACTTGGGCTCCATAAGCTCCCAAACTGCACTATTGTGAGGCGCAATAGCTGGTTTCACTGTACTTTGTAATCATCTGACTCATTTTCTGTGCACTGGCTGATCGCGAATTGAACAAAAAATGGCTGACTTCTGTTTCATCGGGTCACCATAATGTCACTTCCTCTTTGCTGTGCATTTGCAAAACAGGAAGTAATATCTACAGGGACCTATTGAACTGAAAGTTGGCCAGCTTTTGGTGCATTGGGTTGCCATTGACCTAATTCCCTGTGTTGCACTTACACAACGAAGCATGAAGGAAACAAGCAGGTTGGCTGAACACATGTACAGTGAATGGGATCCACAGTGAAATAGCAATATAACTGAATTTGTGCTATAAAGAAGCACATTATAATGGTACTGAATTGTATTAGGCAGTTATATAACCTACAATGTAGCAATGAAACTAAAGATGGTTTCAATGTATCACCTAAAAACAGCAACCATGCTAAGATGTCCTATTTACTTATTGTTTGTTTCACCCACAAAGTATACAGTCAATTCACTTTACAATATATTCGGTGAAGCGCTTTGAGACGTCTAGAAGCCGTGATAAGGCACAATATCAAATGCAAGGATTATTATTATTGTTTCACTTAAGGACATTGCATTCTGCTTTTCATTGACATTTTTTTGAACAGGTCCCAGGGTGAACTATATAAAGAGCTTCGTTAGGTTCATGGGTTACTAAGAGCACATCACATGAACTGTGAAGTAACAAAGTTACAAGATTAGGTTATTAATTATTTGCCCAGTAGAACGGCTGTAGCATTAATGTAGTACAATGGCTATTTTGGTGGGAAGTTAGAAGGGCCTAGTACAGGCCAGAGGTTACATCTGATGTGGCTTTGAACCGTGAAAGTGCAATTTAAATGGCTAATGAACGATAAATGAAGTTTTAGTGATTATATTCAAAGATATTTGCTTTGTAGAATAATCTATTGTTTAGAATGCATGAACTTCAATTCTGGATAATTGTAAATGGTAACACATGGATTACAGCTTGCATCACATGGAAACTGAGTGCCACAAGGAGACCGAATTAGTGCTGCAGTGACATTTGTGGAGCAGTACAAGAGCAAAGAGACAGACAGGAAGCAGAGTAACAAACATGTGAAGAGGAAAGTATAACCAGCCTCGTGTTTTATTTGAACAGATGTATTAAATACATATTTCACATTATAAAGTTTATTTGTTTGTGGGGAGCAGCCTTATTAAAGCCATAGACTGAAATTGCACTCCTAATTAGCTGGCAAGATGTAATGGGTTTGAGAAAGTCATATTCATTGCTAATCAATATCAATAACAGAAGGACTGAGACCAGTACCTCCTGACGACAGCAATCAAAAGATAAAATATTTCCTGTAAACAAATGAGTCTAAGGGTTAGATTGCTGCATTTTGGGGGTTTTAAGGTAAACCTTTGACCTCAGCAACAAACCATGGTAAAAAAAAATTCACGGTAAAACTTTCACGTGATAAGGCGCTATATCAAATACAAGGATTATTATTATTTAATAATTTACTCTGTATATGTAGCATTTCAGAGCATGCAGAATTTGGGAACTTCTTCAATACTACCATAATTCTGTAAGTTCTCCCATGTCTAACTTCAGTTTTCAAAGTTATTCTCCCTACCATTTTTCTTGAAGTTTTTTTTTGCTTTTCACATTATGGGCCCTAGGGTGGCCCCATTATGGCTACTGAAAGAGTGTTTTGTGTGATGGTTATTTTCTGGGCTGGATCTGCTGAAGAGCAGTGGAATTTATGCTTTCCCAGGCCCAGAAAATGTTTTATTCCTAATTGAGATCAATGTCTTAGACAATTTCAAAGCTGCATTTGCAGCAATAAATAAATCATAAATTTATGCTGGTTAAATTATAATGATAATAATCCTTGCATTTGATATAGCGCCTTATCACATCTTCGAGACATCTCAAAGTGCTTCACAGAATATACTGTAAAGTGAATTGACTATATATTTTGTAGGCAAAATTGTTGGAACATCTTACATATGCGAATTAAGATAAAATTAATATTTTTATGCATGTGATCTATCAGGTCCAACAGAATAAGAAAGTAACATGGCATTAAACATGTTAAAGTGATATACTTTTAATTTTACATCAGGGTTATTCATAAGTGAACAAGGCAACATTGCAAGTGCAAATACTGCCCCTCCGCTTCGCTGTGTTTAAAAAAAATTCTTCAGATATGATAACGTGTTAGTGCGTCCCTAAACATCTAATGGCATGTTTAATTTGAAATATTTGCAGTTCACTTAAATTGTTATCCGTATAGTACTGAACTAAAATATGTCACCCACTATTCTTCACGACAACAGTTATGGTCGACTCAAGACATGCCAACGGCTGCTGCAAAACTTAAAGGACACAAAGTTTCTCAATGAAGGAGATGGGAAAGGAATGACTCCATTACTGCTGGCAGCGCAGAACGGACACACCAAAGTGGTTCAACTGCTTCTCATGAAAGGATCCCTTCTTTTATGGTAATGGAGAATTGAAAATGTGTTGTTGTTGTGTCTAATGTCAATAGACCCGTTGTAGTTTCTCAGAATCATAGAGGTTTTTTTTCAGCCCATCAGGTATGTCCTGTTTCTGTGAAAGCTTTCTTTGCCGTCCCACTTATTCCTTGATCCTTTTTCCTTAGACTAATGCTGATGCAGCAGCTCGTTGTAAAGAAACATACAAGGCCCCACTATCACACCACTTTGTCACGTACTGTTTGGCTCTCAGAATTTCTAACCAAGTGCGAACCTCTTGTAAAGAGACTTGCTCAAAACCTGGTTGTATATCTTTTGCAAAATGTGTTGCAACCTAATGTTTGAACAGAGAGCGCTGTGGTGGTGAAAAATGTTCCCTAGTGTGAGCTACCAAGAACCTGAAACATATGGTCTGCAGTAATTTTAATCAGAAACTTCTTTCTTTTTNGAGTTTTTGACATTATTATTTGTTATCTAACTTCACAGCCAACTGTTGCTATAGTGTCAGAAAACACATGGGGTGATTTTGCTTTCCTCTGAGGCCTTGCTATGCATTCAGGGTATATTTGTTGCTAAGTTAACAAAGAGACTGGAGTATTATTTTAAAAAGACAAATTTTTTTTTCCCTCTGGCACATGCACAACCTAACAGCCAATTCATACCTTAGCAACAGGAAAGGATAAAACTTATTAGATAAATCTCTGTATTCGTTTGCAGGTCCCATTATGCATGATGTAACTTGTAGGTCTGATTGCAGGCCCATGGGCTATAATCAGATGGCAATCAGAGTACAATTACAGGCCCGAATAATGGAAATTTACCTCAAATCATTTAAATATTAAACAGAAATATGGTATCTATTAGCAACCTCAAAACAAACAAATTTCTTTGGCTTAGCCACACACAGATGCAGTGTAGCACGGGAGGTTGGATGCATTTTCTAGAGAGATATTTGACTTTTTCTTTAATAATCACTTTTTGGTTATCCTGTCTTATTTGTATTTTTAATTTGAAAAAAGTTTTGATTTCAGATATTGGCTGTGATACATTTTTAACTGTGCTTTAGGTTAGTCGCTTCATTCTAACAGACTGGATAAAACAAGGTTTTGCCCAGCTTGCATTGTGAGTAGGTTGGCCATAATGATGCATGTTAACAAACTCTACCATGTGTCTCCCATCAGGGAGTAGGGAAAAAAAGAGTAACAACACCAACTTGCATTCATATAGTGTCGTTTTATGAAGGATAACATCTCGGAGCTCTTCATATTAATAAAACAGCCTAACAGAACGCAAACTCTGGCAAACTTTTATTAAAGTCCAATACCCATTTAATTGAAAAGCGACCTAGCTGTAAAAGTCTTAACTGTTTCCATGCAATGTATAGAGTGATATTTACAGTGTTTTAATACAGTCCTTGTGGGTTCATTAAAATAAGATATCGATTTAAAAAATCTTCTGTGAAGCGCTTTGAGATGTCTCGAAGACGTGGTAAGGTGCTATATCAAATGCAAGAATTATTATTATTATTTTTCACACTGGGGTTTGGTTTGGCCAACAAGGAAGCTTGTTCGTGGTTCAGGCTTAATTCTTGTATAGTTCAAATTGTATGCTCCCAATAGTGGTATGTTATTGACAAGGTCTTCCTCTATCCATATATTTCAGTCATGCACCCATTTTCTGTACAATTCTTGTACAGTTTCCCCATAGTATCATTGTACATATGCTGCATATGCTATTCCTATGTATGCTCATTTAACTTTCAACATCAGCAACTCCCACCCCAACCCACAAGTATATAACCATGGACTTTGTAAGCAGCACAATTATACAGGACATTGTGTAGCAATGACTTTTTCTCAGCAGCACTTGCTAATTGCTGTGACATATTGACCTAACCGTTGTGGTGGCAGGGTGGCTCTCATCTCCCGGTCCCCGCTTGGCATATCCCCTTACTCTTCTGGAACCTTCCCCTCCTTTGAGCACCTTATACGTTATCACCCCTCCAATCTTTCCTTCAAAATTCTCCTTATGTATCGCTCCCCCCCAAGCCCTCCCCCACCTTCATCCCTGACATCGCCACCCTCCTATCTTCCCTCTCCCTCTGCCCTGAACACCTCCTCATCTTAGGCGACTTCAAACTCCCTTCATCCCCTCCTGCTCTAATTCTGCTCACTTCTCCTCCCTTATCTCCTCCCTCAACCTTTCCCTCCACATCCACTCTGCCACCCACATCCACAGTCATCCCCTCGACTTGGTGATCACTCAGGGCCTCACCGTCTTGGACCTCACCATCATCGACAAAGCCATCTCAGACCATCACTTCATCTCCCTTAACTCCTTAATCCCTCTCCCCACTGACACCCAACCCACCTCCATCTCCTACCGCCTCTGGAAAAAAATCTCCCCCTTTCCCTCTCGGCTGCCTTGGAGTCAACTGAAATCCTTCCCCTCTGGGCTTCCTCCCGCAATGACCTATCCTCCTCGGTCACTCATCTGCACTGTTCCCTCTCCTCCACTCTCGATTCTCTCGCTCCCCTCTCTTCCCGAACTGTCTCCTATTCACATATGTCACCATGGTACACTAGCCACCTCCGCTCCCTTAAAGCACAGTTGCATGCCGTTAAATGCTCCTGGCTTAAATCGAACTTAACGGTCCATTGGCAGATCTGACTGGACCTTATCAACTCCTAACGCTCCGCTCTCCGCTCCACTAAATCATTGTTCTACTCCAAGACAATCTTGGACAACCCAGGCTCCTCTTCTCCACCACCAACCAGCCCCTCCGTCCACCCTCTCATGCCTTGCCCATCCTCACCTCCAATGCCAATTGTGAGGCGATGCTGGATTTCCTCAAATCCAAAGTGGAGGGGATCCATTCAGCTGCCTCTGCCCTTCCATCTACTACACCCTCCCCATCTCCCCCTCCCCCTTGGCCCCTACCCATCGCTCCCTCCACACCTTCGAACCTGTCTCCCACTCCTCTCTCACCACCACTATAGCCCGCATGAAACTGACCACCTGCTCCCTCGACCCCATTCCTAGCCCTCTCCTTACCTCCCAGCTCCACCTCCTCATCCCTCTACTCACAGACATCATAAACCTCTCGCTGTCCACTGGTACAACAACAACAACAACAACAACAACAAGATTCCATTTATAGAGCGCCTTTCACGTCAGGAGGACGTCCCAAGGCGCTGCACAGTTGGGTCATGACCCGAGCAGGGGGGAAATGGTCAGGGTGAGGGGAGGGAAGGGAGGGAGAGAGGAGGGGGGAAATGGTCAGGGTGAGGGGAGGGAAGGGAGGGAGCGAGGAGGAGGAAGAGAGTCGAGAGGGGAGCTGAAGGCACGGTCAAAGAGAAAGGTTTTGAGACCGGCCTTGAAGGAGGAAAGGGAGGAAGCAAGGCGAAGGCACTGGGGGATGGAGTTCCAGAGCCTGGGGCTGAGAGGCTGAAGGCCCGACCACCGATGGTAGGGCGGTTGGGGCGGGGGACGTGGAGCAGACCGGAGCCAGAGGAACGGAGGGTACGGGCAGGTAGGTAGGGGGATAGTAGGTTGGAGAGGTAGGAGGGAGCAAGGCCGTGAATGGCCTTGTAGGTGAGGATGAGGATCTTGAAATCAATCCTCTGGGGGATGGGGAGCCAGTGGAGGCGAGCGAGGGTGGGAGTGATGTGGTCGCGAAGCCTGGTGCGGGACAGTACACGAGCTGCAGAGTTCTGAATGACCTGCAGCTTGTGGAGGGAGGTGGCGGGAAGGCCGGCGAGGAGAGAGTTCCCATAGTCCAGCCTTGAGGTGACAAAGGCGTGAACCAGGGTTTCAGCAGCGTGAGGGGTGAGGTAGTGCCGTAATCTGGCGATATTCCGGAGGTGATGGAAGGCGGTGCCAGTTGTGGTGCGGATGTGAGGGAGAAAGGACAGCTCAGGGTCGAACAAAACGCCGAGGTTCCTGACTGGCTTTGAGAGGTGGAGAGTGCAGCCTTGGATGCTGATGGTGTCAGCGCCTGAGGTGCGGAGGCGCTGACGTGAGCCAATCAGGAGGGCCTCGGTTTTTCGCACGTTGAGCTGAAGAAAGTTGTCTCTCGTCCAGGACTCGATGTCGGACAGGCAGGCTGTCAGGACATCGGTGGTCGTGGAGTTGAGAGTAGAGGAGGAAAGGTAGAGTTGGGTGTCATCCGCATACATGTGGAAGTTAACCCCATGTTTGCGGATGATGTCACCAAGGGGGAGCATATAGAGGGTGAAGAGGAGGGGACCGAGGACAGAGCCCTGAGGGACACCACATGAGACAGTACGGGGGGTGGAGGAGAAGCCATTCGTTGAGACGAAGTGAAGACGGTGGGAAAGGTAAGAGCTAAACCATTCAAGGACAGTGCCTTGAAGGTTGAGGTGGGAGGACAAGCGGTGGAGTAGGATAGCGTGGTCGACCGTATCGAATGCTGCCGATAGGTCGAGGAGGACGAGGAGACAGAGGGAGCCCTGGTCACAGATGGTCAGGATATCATTGGTGACCTTGACCAGGGCAGTTTCTGTGCTATGAGCAGCACGGAAACCTGACTGAAGGGGTTCAAAAAGAGAATGGGTGGAAAGGAAAGAGCGCAGTTGGGAGGCGACAACTCTTTCCAAGACCTTGGAGAGAAAGGGGAGGTTGGAGATGGGCCGGTAGCTTGATAGCTGCGACGCATCAAGGGAGGGTTTTTTCAGGGTGGGCGTGATGATGGCAGTTTTTAATGGAATGGGGACAGAGCCAGAGGAGAGGGACAGGTTTATGATGTCAGTGATGTGTGGGGCAAGAAAATGGAGCTGGGAGATAAGGAGTGGAGTGGGGATGGGGTCAAGGGAGCAGGTGGTTGGTTTTAGGGATAGGATGAGTTCAGTGACAGAGGGTGGGGAAACGGGTACGAAGGTGTGTAGGGGAGGATGGGTAGGAGTCGGAGTGTGGGAGGGAAGGGGTGGGTGGTGGGTGGAAGTTGGAGGGGAAGTGACCGCGGAGCGGATTCCTTTGATCTTGGATTCAAGGAAATCCAGCATCTCCTCGCAGTGAAGGTTGGAGGAGATGACCTGCACGGGGTGGCGGGGGGGACGGAGGAGTCGGGATGTGGTGGAAAACAGTAGCCTGACCGTTCCCTCTCCATTAAAAACGGCCGTCATCACTCCTATCCTTAAAAAACCCTCCCTGGACCCATCTCCACTCTCAAACAACAACCACCCCATCTCCAACCCCCATTTCCTCTCCAAGGTCCTGGAACTACTTGTTCTTCCCAGCTTTGCTCCTTCCGCTCCCATCACTCCCTTCACGAACCACTCCAATCGGGTTTCCATGTCACCCACAGCACAGAAAGAGCCCTGGTCAAAGTGACATTCTGACCATCTGCGACCAAGGCTCTCTCTGCTTCCTCGTCCTCCTTAACCTCTCTGGTGCCTTCGACACCGTCGACCACTCTATCTTCATCCACCACCTCTCCTCTCACCTCAACCTTCACAACACCGTTCTTGACTGGTTCAGATCATACCTCTCACACTATCTCCACTTCATCTCCACAAACGGTTTCTCCTCTAGCCCCCACACAGTCTTGTGCGGCTTTCCTCAGGGCTCTGTCCTTGGTCCCCTCCTCTTCAATATCTATATGCTCCCTTTTGGTGACATCATCTGCAGACATGGGATCAACTTCCACATGTACGTGAATGACACCCAACTGTACCTCTCTGCCTCCACCCTTGACTCCAGGATCATTGCTGTCCGGACAGAATGTCTGTCAGACATCAAGTCCTGGATGAGAGCTAACTTGCTTCAGTTGAATGGCAATAAGACCGAGGCTTTCCTGATTGGCTCCCGTCAGCACTTCCACACCTCAGGCGCTGACAGTATCACCATCCATGGTTGCACACTCCACCTTGCTAAGCCAGTCCAGAACCTTGGGGTCTTGTTGGACCCTCAACTATCCTTTCTCTCCCACCTCCGCAACATCACCCGGCTCCGCCACTGTCTCACAACGCAGGCCGCCGAAACCCTCATACATGCTTTCATTACATCGAGGCTCAACTATGCAAACTCTTTGCTTGTTGGCCTCACCAACTCCACCCTCCATAGGCTGCAGATCATCCAGGACTCTGCAGCCCGTGTCCTCTCCCGCACCAGGCTCCATAACCCTATAACCCCATCCTTGCCCTACTCCATTGGCTTCCCATCACACAGAGGATACAGTTGAAGATCCTAGTCCTCACCTTCAAAGCCTTCCATGGTCTTGCTCCCCCCTACCTCTGCAACCTCCTAACCCTACCATCCGGCCCGTTCCCTCCACTCAACAGGCTCCGGCCTGCTTCACGTACCCCATCTCGCTCGCCCCACCATTGAAAGACGCGCCTTCAGCCACTCTGCCCACACCCTCTGTAACTCCATCCCGAAATCCCTCCACCTCACCCCCTCCCTTGCCTCCTTCAAGATCCATCTCAAGATTCTCCTCTTCGACCGTGCTTTCGACCACCCTCCTTCCTCCACTGACTTCCACCCTCCCCGATCCCTGGCTCGGGTCCAAAACTATGACTGTCCAGTGCCTTGGGACGTCCTCCCAATGTGAAGGCGCTATACAAATGTCATTTTGTTGTTGTTGTTGTTGTTGCTGGCTTCTGATGCTGCAGTAATATTCCAAATCAAATTCTCTGTGTTTATATTATTAATTATATCACACTTCAACTCATCATTTATTAAAAAAAATCAACGCTTTAATTTTCCTGCCAAAATGTTGCTTGGATAGATTCAAACAATGACCTTTAAGAAATTACATTTTTCTTCTTTTTTTACTTTAATATTTTAAGGGATTACGAAGGCTGGACATCTTTGCATTTTGCTGCTGCGGGAGGGTATTCTCACACAATGAAGATTTTGTTAGAAACAAACATAAAACTGATAGACCAGGTGGACTTGAAAGGGGTAAGTGTATCCATTGCACACCACATTTCTTTGCACAGCTGCTTCAGAATAGTATACTGAGAGGAGTCCTGTAGCTCAGCGGATAAAGCACTCACCTCACAAGCAAGAGACCTGGGTTTGATTCCTGGCAGGGTGAAACCTTGGGCAAGTTTCCTTACTCCATACGCCTGATAACAATCCTTCAAGAAAAAAATTATGAATTGGTCACTTCAATCCACGATTGTTTGTGGGACACTGCTGTGTGCGATTGGCTGCTGCGTTTCACCCACAAATATACAATCAATTCACTTTACAGAATAGTCTGTGAAGCGCTTTGAGACGTCTAGAAGACGTGAAAAGCGCGTCATCAAAATGCAAGGATTATTATTATTTATCTATTTTACGTGTATCCGATTAGCTGTAATAATCTGTGAATTTGGGTCTGCAGCTTTGGACCTGCGGTTTGTGGATTGCCGCATTCAATAGCCAGCTAGTGAGAGACCAGCATTTCAATACATTTTTAAAAAATCAGAGAAACTAGTTTCCCACTTAACTGGATGTCAAGTGCAGCAATCCACAGACCAAAAGTCCAACCAAATGTATTGCTAAATTGACTTATTTTGTCAAACTCCTATTTCCTCCCCTGTTATATGTGACCTCTTCATTTCAACCAATTAGGTTCTCAGTTTTCAGGTCAACATGGAAAGTTTACATTACAACAACATGGAAGAAATTACCATTTCCCCCATTAGCGTGTTACAATCATGTGTGTGCTGCCCTAACGAACACCTAACTAATCCAGCTTAGGTCTTTATAGAAGTTTTGCATAGAAATGTTGCTGTAGATAAATTAGACCAGTGACAATATCCCTGGCTGAATATCAATGTGAGGGAGCTATCGAAGAGGTCCAGGGAAGAAAGTAACCCAAGGTATTTAAATGATTCTTTGTTAATTGAAAACACCTTCAAACTAAGACACAATTTTCTAAGTTACTGCTTGTATACTTACAAACATTCAATCATTCATGATCTACACAGTTTCTGAAAGATTACCTTTGTGTTTTGCTGCTAAGAATACTGCCCTCCATTTCGCTGCAAGTGAAGGACATGTCAATGCTGTTCGTCTCCTGATGACCAAAGGAGCTGCTATAAAACTCAATGAGAATGATGCTTCCTTTTTGCATGAAGCAATTCACAAAGGAAGAAAAGAAGTTGCTTTAGCTATTGTTGAAAGTGAAAGGTATGAGTGATGATTGTGCTGTATGAGCATTTATGTGAACACCTTTACAAGCTTTTAAAATTACTACCTATTGCTATCATAAGGATTCAAAATCCCCATAAATAAATATGCAAACTACACTTTAACAACTAGTGTAAAAGAGCATCTCAAAAATCAAATATAGTGGTGGACATCAAGCAGGAAAATAAGAGACTTAAAGATATCGACCAAAGGCAAGGTCAAAGAGCTATGTTTTTAGGAATTATTGAAGGCAGGGAGAGAGGTAGTAAGGCAGTATGGTTTTGAAAGACGATATTAAACTTATTCTCTGAGTTATGGTGAGCCAATAGAGTTTGGAGAGGAGGGCCAAGGGCAAGAGGGGTGAGAATGAATGAAAGTGTGAATATTCAGAGATCCTAATGTGCAGTACGTACAGAAAGAATACTGTACTTTATTAAAAGATTATAAAGATGTTAAGCTACAAAAGGGCAGATGTTGGTGCTGGTAGGTGGGGGGGGGGGGGGGGGGGTGGGGGAGAGGGGGTAACATATCAAAAAAGTAAGCAGTAAAGTAATACTTAAAAGGTTGTCAATCGTCTTCTTTATCTCATGAATGGTCCTCAGAGGTTTGGAGACTAAGCTTGTCTAGGTCCCAAAGGATTCCTACACCTCTCCTTCCCCAAGCATGGCAAAGACAGACAGAGAGCTTTCCGCTTAATTTTGTGTGTCGAGTGAGACATCCTCTCTCTTGTGTGTTTCACGTGGTGAGATTCACTGGTAATCTTGAAGTTGACTTTACTCTGGAACAGAACCAGTGTTTACACAATTAAGTTGCTCTGTGTTTCTTTTTAAAAATATTCTTAAAACTTTCCATATCAATCTGAATGAAATTTGCCAAATTGTAATAGATATCATCTAACATATACCTTTTCTGTTGATTCCAGTATCTGAATAATTAAGTGAATGGTTCATTGTTATAACACAACCCAGACCTTCCTCGTACTTTACTTACTGATTTTAGTCATTCATATGCAGTGCTGGCTCTGTTTGAACATATTTCCGTAGAAAATTACATTTTAAAACAAGTGCGTGAAGGATTTCTTGAAAATGTTAATTAACTTAAAAAAATTATTTCTGTTTTAGGAAATAGAGCTTCTTTAAGAATCAAGTTCAGGATTATTTAATTAATTCTTGCACTTTTGATGGCATTGATTTATTCACATGTTGGTGATTGCATTTCTTTCGCACTGAACAAATTCTATTCTGAACAAGTGTCCTATTTGGAACATCTTGTATTGTTGTGAGGAACATTTTATTCTATGGTTATTAAGTTTAAAGCTCAAATTCTCAAATTTGCTGGTGTAGACTATTGAATGATGCTGTGTGTTAGTGTTTAGTTATCACCTTTTGAGATAATTAACTCATAGTGACACAAAATGTTCTTTGAAATGTTGAATACTTTGATAGATAGAAAATTACTCATGTTGATAGACCAAATGATCACCTCTTATACTGGGCTTTCTATGACTTCATTTAATTCTGTCATTGGCATTCCCCACTCTCTTTTGAAATCTTTGCATTTAGATTTTATGAAGCTATGTGTATCTTCGTTCATGGCTCTCCGATGGGTTGTCCAGTCCTGGAAATGATTGAGCACCTACCAGAATCTTTCAAAGTAAGCTACTCTATGTCATCATCATAAAAAATCATAGAATCATAGATTTATACAGCACAAAAGGAGGCCGTTCGGCCCATCATGTCTGTGCCGGCTCTTTGAAAAGAGCTATCCAAATCAATCCCTCTCTCCCCACAGCCCTACAAACTTGTTTTCTCCAAATGCAATGTGAAATGCTTAATCTTATTTAAATTGATTTTGAAAGATCATTCATCTAATTTTATTGGAGTGTTGTTATCCACCATTTATAATAATAAACTTTGCATTTGATATAGCGCCTTATCACGTCTTTGAGACATCTCAAAGAGCTTAACAGAATATACTGTAAAGTGAATTGACTGTAGATTTTGTAGACGAAACGTGGCAGCGAATTGCGCACAGCACTGTCCCACAAACAGTTGTGGTTTGAGTGACCAATTCATTAGAATTACATTTGGGTGAAAATGCGAGATTTGCAAACAGGAAGTTGCTACTTATTTCTAAACAATATTGTGTGTTTTTACACTTATTGGGTTCAGTAGGTAGAGCACTCGCCTCGCAAGCGAGAGACCTGGGTTCGATTCCTGGCATGGCGAAACCTTGGGCAAGTTTCCTTACTCCACACGCCTGATAATAATCCCTCAAGAAAAAAAAACACAATAATAGAACCGGTCACTTCAATCCACGACTGTTTGTGGGATACTGCTGTGCGCAATTGGCTGCCATGTTTCGTCCACAAATATACAGTCAATTCACTTTACAGTATATTCTGTGAAGCGCTTTGAGACGTCTAGAAGACGTGAAAAGCGCTATATCAAATGCAAGGATTATTATTATTATTGAGAAACTGAAATTTTAATGAAGCTTTTATGTTTCTTTCAAGGGGCTTTTAGACAAATGCATGAAAGAATCCTCGGAAGACAAGAAAAATATTAATTTCTCAGTAGGTATCCTTTCTGAATCTGTGATTTGCCTGGTATGTTGATAGCACATTCCTAACCTTTTATTGTTTATTATACAGATTGAGTATAATTTCAAATACTTACAGTGTCCAATTAATTACCGGAAAATCATTAAAGGAGACAAATTGATTACCTACAAACCACTAACAACATTAAATGTAAGTTTGTTTTTCCACATTTAGGAGTGAAAATTGCAAAGTTTCAGATTACATTCAATGTAACAAACCTATGTGACTTTTGTATAATGGTTGGGTCTGAAGATTCTTGGGCTTCCGGTTATAGAGAGTGGAGAATTTGTACAAATAAACAAACCAAATTGGATATGTATTCATACCGGGAGGACATCCCAGGGTGCTGGGCAATCAAGGGTTTGTACCTAGAAATAAGATATCTACCAGTTGTGGTGGTGGTGGGAGGGGGGCTGGGTGGGTAGAACTGAGTTCTTTCAAGGCATTTGAAGACCGAGAGAACAACAGGATTGTAAACCCTGCCGCTTGAAATATTGGCTGCCTATGGTAGAACATGCTGAGATGCGTTGCCCACCGGGAAGCTTGCAGGGAGTTCCTTGTACTTACTATCCACTTAGTGAGGCTCAAATCTGCGCTTATCAGATGTCGAATGACCAACTAGTGATTGTCCTTCTGCGGTTGGGGTTTGCAGGGGGAAATAAGTGGGGTCTCCTTGATGAGCTGAACTAGTTCCAGGGTGACGTGCCTGGCAATGGAATGTTGGAATCGAGCCGGGCCTCTGAGGCAGTCTCAGTAGTCCGGTTCCTGAGCCAGGTGGGTCTGCAGTATTTCAGGGCGCTGCTGGTGACAGCACAGGCTGATCGGCAAGACCTGAAATGGCAGACCAGTCACTGGGGGCAGGGGGTCATCCAACTCAGCTCCTGTTATTAAGGGTAGTAAGGGATATGGGGCAAGAGCAGGTAATTGGACTTGAAGCGCCTTGAGCCTGTTCTGCCATTCTATAAGATCAGCCAGTGGCAATGGCAAGCTATGTGGTTTTTGCAAGTTAGACTTCAGCGGTATCCCAACACATACTCTGAGGTCCCCGAGCCTTGGCTCCTGCCAACCTGCGCTTAATACGTTCCGGTATTAGGTAAGCAGGATGCGTCCCTCCAGGGAGAGAGTGCGCATTCCATTCCAAAAATCTATCTCTGGGATTTCCAGGTGTACATGGGATGCATGGAAATTTCAGCTTGGTTTGGATACTCTTAAGCATGGTGATGGATTTCCTCATTTGTCGGACACCCGGCTGATCACTGTGATGGGATTGCCACACTTGTCAGACAGCCAGAGACCAAAAAAAAAGAACAATGGAAGCCAGTCATTTTTTCTATTAACTATTAAAATTATTATTAGTGACTTGGGCCTGAAGTCTAGGATCCATTCGGAAGTGAACGATGCCTGGACCAGGGAGAGCATGAGTTTCATTTCATGCCGACTTGTTTCATGCTGTACTAAAAGGAGAGCTTGGAAGGATATTATGTACCAAATATTCAATAAACAAAATAGATTAGAAGTCCTTCTGTGGACTAGAATTTATGATAGTACTGACCTCACCTCAAGGAAGATTAAAGAGAGTAGTGATCCAGGTCGCAAAGGAACAATCCATTCTCCGGGAAGGATGCACTGCCACCTATCGGCTGTTTATGCCACAAATTTCTAGTGCTGAGAAGGTTGTGAGTTCAAGTCTAGGCTGACCCACTAATGCATTACCGAGTATTGTATTGTTTGAAGTATCATCCTTTGGCTGATACAATAAACCAATGTCTTGCCTACCTGTCCTCAGGTGAATATTAAAGGACCCATGAGAGTATCGAAAAGAGTAGGGAGTTTGTCCTGGCCAACAATCGTACAGATTAAATATCATTAACCTTGTGGTTGTTTTGGGACCTTGCAACTGCACTATGGATTATATACTTGCATACGAAAAACAGTCACTATACAATACTTGGCAATAAATAATGTTAAAAAGCTTTTTGACATAAAATACTATAAAAATGCTAATTCTTTATTATGTAATGGGTATAGAATCAGTTTGTTAAATCATTTCAATTCCTATGCTTTATAAAGTTTTCCATCTTTTTGTTTGTTTTTCAGGCTATGGTAAAATATAATCAAACAGAACTTCTAAATCATCCAGTCTGTAAAACGTACCTTCAAATGAAATGGTATGTAACTGCTTACAATGTTTGTCTGACAAGGTGTGCTGGTATATTTGTCACATGTATGTTTGTGAGGTTATTGACTGAAATGTAACCATTGCTGAATCCAAATTATATGCTTATATCTGATATACAGTACTCTTCCTACCATATATGGTAGTTGTTAGTTCCAAATTTATGTTCCTAATTTCCTTTTGCTTCAGAATCATAATTGTTTTTTTGGTCAGCTGGGTGTCGAACACATGTGAAAACCAATCCCATGCTTAATCCCAGTACCTTGGGACGTCCTCCCGATGTGAAAGGTGCTATACAAATGTAATTTGTTGTTGTTATTAAGAATATCCAAACCAAGCTGATAATTCCATGCATCCCACCTACACATGGAAATTCAAGAGATAGATTGTTGGAATGGAATATGCACTCCCTCCATGGAGGGACCATCCTGCTTACCTAATTCTAGAAAGCATTTGATGCAGATTGGCAGGAGCCAAGGCTTGGGGTCCCCAGAATGTGCACTGGAATATTGCTGGAGTTTAACCAGCTAAAAACATATACCTTGCCATCGATAGCACTGTCTGGCAAGCTTTCCCGCTGGTTATTCAGCTGGGCTTTGGCTTGCAGGGTTAACAGGAACTGAGTGAGAGAATTCCCTACCCCCAGTGACTGGCCTGCTCTTCCAAATCCTGTAAATGAGCCCGGCTGGCTGTGCTGCCATCAGAAGTGCCTTGGAGTACTGCGTGGCTCAGAAACCAGATGACTGAGACCACCACAGAGCTCACAAGATTGTTTTGAATAAGAAAGATCTTTAGCCCTTTTGATCTCATTCTTCCAGAATACCTACCCTACCAACCTCCATACAGGGGATATGGTGTCTAATATAGTGTCTAATAAGTCTTAAAAAATTATGATTTTTTTAGATAATAGGGTAGTTAGCAAGACTTTTTGGTCACCCTGTAGTCAAGCATTGTGACCTCAATCACACTTCTTGGTAAACGTGCTTCAGTCACTGATTGCCTTCTGGATAAACAAATGCTTCCTGGTCTCTGTCCTAAAATTGCCCTTTAACTTTGTTCTTTTATTAGGCGGGCATATGGAATTATGGCCCATGTGATCAACATGCTCCTCTATAGTGTGTTACTTCTGCCAATGACGGTCCTCATTTTGGTTGCACGGCCACATGGTGTCAACAGTCAATCACACATCCTGCTCAATGTCACTCAGACAGCAATTGGAACACAGACGGAAATTGAGGTCTGTTCATACAATGGATGCAAAAGCAGGGAGTGTTATTTTCACCATCTCACTTTGTCATGTGCTACCATGTGCTACAATATTTTAATATAAAAATGATGATTTACAGCTCAAGTGTACCATGTTACTTTATTGCTGCCTCACAGGAATGGCTGCCTAAAGCATAAGGTTTCTGTTAAGACAATTTTAATGCAATGATATCATGATTCCATGTCTATTCCCAATTCCCAGGTTGTGTGCACAGGTAGGGTTCTTTATGACTCCTTTAATTCATTTTATCTCACTTGATGAGTGAAGACATGCTATGTCTCTTCTAAAATTCCTCTGCCCCATTCCTTCCTTCTCTGTTTTCTAAACCCATCTCTTTAATTGTGCCTTTGGTCACCTACCCTAAATCCTCCTCATCTCCCTCACAATTTTGGTTCCCACTCAAGCTTTGTGGAGCTTTTAAGGTATTCTCCTATGTAAAATATATGTAACTGTTTATCGTACTTTGCTATAAGAGCGTAAATTGTTGTTGTTGGATTTACTTTGTACAGTTTGTCAAAGTGAAACCATGTTTCATAAAATCATGTTTAAACAAAGCTTTAAGTTTCTGAACACTTATCAATTACACATGGAAACAATAGATACGTGCGATGTTTATCAAACAGTTTCTGTATTTAAAACAATTCTCTCAAAGTGGAGTATTGAGTTCTAAACAAGTTATTAAGGAGATGGTTTAAACACACTATTTTAGCTCCAATTCCTATGCCATTCCTTAATTATCACCAGGAAAGAAACAAAATTGCTTTTCGGAATACCACAGTTTTGACCCCTGTATATTGTTTTGTTCAATATCTTTCTTAGGATATAATGATGTAAGTGGTATTGGACAAATGCTGAGTTTCAACTTGTAAACTGCTGTTTCTTCCACAGGAACATACAGTAGAGAAAATCTGTGCAACTATTGTATTTATCATGAGTGGGCTGGGAATATGCAAGGAGATTATTCAACTTTTTCAGCAGGTAAAATGCTGAAACGGGCAGGGCGAAACATTGGGCAAGTTTCCTTACTCCGCACACCTCTATTCACCTAGCAGTATGTTGGAACCCGGTTGTTAGTCGATTGGTGGATCGCGTTTCCGGGGGTAATAATCCCTTCAAGTAAATAAATAAATAATAATAATAATTTGGTCACTCAATTGTCACGATTGTATGTGGAACGCTGCTGTCCCCACACATTATACAGGCAATTCACTTTACAGTATCCTCTGTGAAGCATGATAAGGCACCATATCAAATGCAAGGATTATTATACTCTGTAGTACCCATGGTTGCAAACTCAGATCATACTGCAACATAAACTTTACATAAAATAATCCTACAGATTATTAATTTATTCAGCAATTTATATCATCCTCCCATCATAGAGTCAAGCTATTTAGCCTCTGGGTAAAGACATTTCCTGGTATCTGTCCTGAAGTTCCCTTTGCAACCCTAAACTTATGTCCTCTTGTTCTGCTATCTTGGTACAGTATTGCTGTTGCATTACATTTTCAGTCCATTTTAAAAAAAAAAGGTTACACATCTCTATAAGAGCCCTATCTTGTATAAACATTGCTCAGAACAGGATTTGATAAATGCTCAGAAGCAGGTGGTGATGGGCAGGTCAGCAGACACCAGTCTGATCTGATTCAGATCAGATCCTCACTTGCTTGATATCTTTGAATGGCAGGATATAATAACTTTACAATTGTTCGTGTGATACTTCAAATGTTCCTGCAGAATTTCCCCTGATAACTGCTAATTTTTCATTGTTCTTTTGTGTTGTTATTAAGCGATGGCAGTACCTGGTTGATTCGTCCAATTTACTAGACTGGATTATTTACGTAATGTCCATTGTGTTTGTAACTCCCTGGGTGCTGGATATGTCAATTGCCTGGCAGTGGCAATGTGGCATTATTGCTGCATTGTCATCCTGGGTGAACTTCCTCTTGTTTCTACAAAGGTATTGTTAATTTGATTTTGATTGTTGTTATTTTATAGCCTAACGTGTACTCTATTTCTAGCAGGATAGAGAGGAAAATGTAATATAATTTTGTACAGATGCTTACATTGTGAGAGCTCTTTCCTGCTGCAGTTGAGAACTGCAAGCCATTGGCTGGTTGGTTAATGTATGGTACTGAGATGCACTCTATACCTATAGGTAAGTAGATCTGTGCACCATTTGAAATCTTATAATAATCCTTGTGTCACAAACTCTGGCCCCCAATTGCTCACCTCGGGCCCCTACACAGATATTAACGATACAGGATTGAGAATCTGCTTAAAAAATAGAAGTCACAGTTCCAGTGTAATTTGGTGTTGTAATTACAAAGACTGAATCGCTTTGTGGTTTTCCACTGACTTTCAATTAACAGATCCACAGATACTCACCGAGATCACAGATTTAACAGTGCATCTTTGATACGAATGCTTTAAAAAAGAGGTTGACCATTATAATTGGGAGATGTTATTTTGGCTACAGTTTGAAACGTCTCGAGTCTCTCCCAGACCTTTCAAAAAGCAGACTTCCTGAGCAGTCCTTTGAGATCACAGGAGGGCTGGCTTGATTCTGATGTTTATGTTGCCATACATGTTTGTTTTAAATATTGATTCTGTTCAATAAAGTACAATGCTTGTACAGTATTTTTGTAAATGCAATTTTTCTCAATGATCAAATCATATCATAAAAATCATTGAATCATAGAATATTACAGCGCAGAAGGAGGCCATTTGGCTATTCGGCCCATCATGCCTGTGCGGGCTCTTTGGAAGAGTTACCCATTCAGTCCCACTCCCCTGCTCTTTCCCCATATCCTTTCAAATTTTTCCTTTTCAAATACCTATCCAATTCCCTTTTGAAAGTTATTATTGAATCTGTTTCCACCACCCTTTCAGGCAGTGCATTCCAGACCATAACAACTCTTTGTGTCCCCTCTGGTTCTTTTGCCAATTATCTTAAATCTATATCCCCTGGTCACCAATCCACCTGCCAGTGGAAACAGTTTTTCCCTATCTACTCTATCATAACCCCTCATAATTTTGAACACCTCTATTAAATCTCCCCTTAACCTTCACTGCTTGAAGGAGAACAACCCCGCAATCCAAATGCTCAGCTCCCTGGAGAAGAGTTGAGACCTTAAGACAGCTAAGGAGTCCAGTAGCAAATTGGTTAGAGCACTCGCCTTGCAAGCGGGAGGACCTGGGATTGACTTCCGGTAGGGTGAAGCCTTGAGAAAGCTTCCTTACTCCACACACCTCTGCTTACCTAGCAGTAAATAAGAACCCAGTTGTTAGTTGATTGGATGATCTCTTTCTGGAGGTAATAATCCCTTCAAACAACAACAAGCAAAAAAATAATAATTTGGTCACTCAATCCGCAACTGTTTATGAGATATTGCTGTGCGCAATTGGTTACTGGGTTTTGTCCACAAAATTCACTTAAAAAAAAGTGAATTCACTTCACGATATATTCTGTGAAGCACTTTGCGACATCTCAACGGCATGTTGAGGCACTATATCAAATGCAAGGATTATATAAAATGCACAGATTATTAATATGTTTTGTGACTGTTGTGGATTTTAGGAAATGGCAGGTTAACAATTTAACAAAGAATGTATGTGTTGCTATGGTTTATGATTCACTGTGAACTGGGGTTTACTGAGGTTTTAATGGTATTGTTTTGTTTGTGTCCTTTAGATTTGAAATCTCTGGAATCTACGTGGTAATGTTTGCAGAGATCCTGAACACTATGTTTCATATTATCATTCTATTCTTCTTCCTTATCCTGGCATATGGACTGACCTTTTACATTCTTTTGTATGAGCAGGTAAATACCCCAAATCTGTTAGATCACTGAGCTGATCAATGGTTAACTCCAAATCAAATGTAGAAATAGTTGATAGTGGTATACAGAAGAAAAAATTATCATAGAAATTTAAGAAATTCTGTGAAGCGCTTTGAGACATCCCAACGACATGATAAAGCGCTATATCAAATGTAAGGATTATTACAAGGAAGAATTTAGTGCCTTCAGAAGAGCAGAAGGCGAGAGGATTGACCAGATCAAGATTTTGGTTTGGCAGATAGATGTCTGGCTTATGGCAGATAAAGATGATTGACAGGATATCTTAATTCAGTTTCTGTTTTCAGATCGCATATGAATCACTTCCGCTTTCTCTGATGAAGACATTAGCAATGATGTTAGGGGATATCAACTACCAGGAAACTTTTTTCATCCCATTTAAGGAAGGAAGGTTGCAATTCCCTCTTCTGACCTTTATAATTCTACTTATATTTATGTTGATCATACCAATCCTTCTTATGAATTTACTGGTAAGTCAGCTTCAGAGAATTCTCAATACTTTTTCCAAAGCTCTGTGTTCTATTGTTTTTCATTTATATTGTCTATCTCCTGATGGCTCGGAGACGGAATAATAATACTATAATCCTTGCATTGGATATAAACATCTATAACATCAAAATGTCTCATAGCGCTTTACAAGTGATTGCTGTTGAGAGTAGTGACTGTACATGTAGACAGATTTAGTAGTCAAGATGCACACAGCCATATTCCCCAAACAGCTGCAAATTGAATCTTCAATTTTTCTGGAAGATTAATGTCTGGGCACCCAGGAGAAATTCCCTTTGATTGATGAAATGGGGTCTTTAACGTCCACCTGAAGAGGTAGGCGGGACCTCGGTTTAACGTCTCATAACATAACCATGGCAGCATCCCCCAGGACCGCACTGGCGTATCAGCCTAGACTAGCCAATGAGTTCAGACTTCAGACATGGGGCTTGAACCCACATCCTTCTGCATCAGAAGCAAGAGTGATATCAAGTGGGTCAAGTTCATACCAAAATGCACCAGCCACTAGGGACCAAGTGGTCTCCTACTTTGATGCAAACTTTCTCTGATGTTACATGGCGTGCAACTGAATCATATAGGACCAGGAAGCTCTCAACCAGAGAGAAGAAGCAATACAAAATCCCCAGGGCTGGAGGGAGACAATCTTTACCAGGGTACTTATTTCCAGATCATTGTGTGGTAGCATTGTGTGTGGCAGGATTGTGTGCTGCTGTTGTGATCAGCTTTCTAATGTTTAATAGTTTAATGTTCAGACTTATATATGAAGATTAAGATTGACTTCTCGATTGAGCACCTGTGTAATCACGCCAACTCTTGTATTCAGAACAAAGAAAATTAGGTATAAAGTAGGCTGCAAAACACGACAGAACGTAATAATTACTACTAGTGGAGTCCTGTAGCTCAGTGGTTGGAGCACTTGCCTTGCAAGCAAGAGATCTGGGTTCAGTTCCAGGCAGGGCAAAACCTTGGGCAAGTTTCCTTATTTCACACGCCTAATAATAATTCCTCCAAAACAAAACAATAATAAATTGGTCATTTTCAATCCACGGCTGTTTGTGGACACTGCTGTGCACAATTGACTGCTGAGTTTCGCCCACAAATATACGGTCAATTCACTTTACAGTTTATTCTGTGAAGCGCTTTGAAACATTGAGAAGACGTGAAAAGCACTGTATCAAATGCAAGGATTATTATTATTACTGATGATAATCATCATATCACCAGTAATTCCAGTCAAATCACTCAAAGATTATCATTGAAATCTTCCTTATCAACTGTTTGGGGTCCCCATAATGCAGAATGCAGCTTTTGAGTTTAATTCGGATTGTTCTATGTTGGGGTCCGTCACGTGCCAATTGCTAACATAATGTGTATATAACAGGAAACCCTTTTGCACATGCAAGATAATAGATCGTTAGTGTTAAAGATTGTCTGGGAAGCATCATATTTTAAAATGGTGACTATTCAGGGTTGGCTGGCTGCACTTCATTTTGATTCCTGGCAGGCGAAACCTTGGGCAAGTTTCCTTACTCCACATGCCTGATAATAATCCCTCAAGAAAAAAATAATAAAATTGGTCACTTTAATCCACGACTATTTGTGGGACACTGCTGTGCGCAATTAGCTGCCGCGTTTCGCCCACAAATCTAGAGTCAATTCACTTTACAGTATATTCTGTGAAGCGCTTTGAGATGTCTAGAAGACATAAAAAGCGCTATATCAAATGCAAGGATTACTATTATTATTATTTCCTGTGAATATTCAGGCTTGGTGCACTGGATTTCCTGTGAATATGATGTAAGTCTGCATATGAACACCCGGGTTTATCTGTATCGGGGATAACAACACCAATACTGACAACAAGAGTACTGTTCCTTTGATATTGCTGATATGATTCATTCTTGTTCCATACTTTATTTTGCATTTAGATTGGTTTGGCTGTCGGAGACATTGCTTCAGTACAGAGAAATGCGAAATTAAAAAGAATGACAATGCAGGCAAGTACTTAAGGTACAATGAAGGCGTCCAATCAAACTGAAAAGAAATGCAACTTCATCATAAAAACATTGTTAACAAATCCATTCTGTTCTGCATAGATTTTTCTGCATACCAGCCTGGAGAAGAAACTTCCAAAATGGTTTCTGAAAATTGTTGACCAACAATCAATTAAGATATATCCAAACAAGCCGTCCTGCTTTTTGGTCGGGGTAATTATGAAAAGCTAAACATGTGTACCAATGCCAATGACATGAAGTTAATTTTCATCATTCTTTTAATAAAATGGCATTTATTGACATTTCCTACCCCAAAAAACCTTCAAAAGAATGAAGTAAACTTCATTCTACTATCTAAATGCTTATCAAAAGTAGTAATACAGTTTTAATTATGAATTACACAGTTGAAGGATGTCCAATTGTTCATGACAGAATTAACTTTGTGCGCCCCACCCCCCCACACACACACACTCTCTATTCCTAAGCCCAGCTTTCATATCTATCAAATTTGAACGTGTACAATGATTGTGTGTCTACGCTCCTGAATTTTAGGTGTCACCTGGCTCAGTTGATAGCGCTCCGGCCTGCTCCATGACTCCCGCCTGACCCACCCTACCATCGGTGGCCGGGCTTTCAGTCTCTCTGCCCCCACACTCTGGAACTCCATCCCACAGCCCCTTTGCCTCACTTCCTCCCTTGCTTCCTTCAAGGCCGGTCTCAAGACCCTTCTCTTCAATCACGCCTGGGTCGCCCTTCCACCCCTCTGCCTTCCCTCCCCCCTCCCCCACCCCTCCCCCATGCTCGGGCGCTGACACCTGACTGTTCAGTGCTTTGGGATGTCCTCCTGACATGAAAGGCGCTCTGTAAATGTAATTTTGTTGTTGTTGTTGCGTGTTAAAGATCCATGGCACTATTTGAAAAGTGAAGTAAGTTTTTCCTGGTGTCTGATGAACAGTAGTTATTTACTTCAAGGTTGTTTGTGAGACATTGATGTGTATAAATTGGCTGTCATGTTTCCCTACAAAAGTACACAGTCACTACATTTGACAGTAATTTTGAGCTATTCTAATTTACAGCCAATCCCTCTCTAATATCCCTCTCATAGAAGACTGTGCATTTAAGTTTCTTGTTGGAATCTTTAGCCGATAGTGCAGGGCTGGGAGAGCACTGCATAATAAGAAGTCTCATGGAAAGGCACTATAACAAATGCAAGGATTATTATTATTTGAATTAGGATTCAGTTACATACATGCATTTCCTGAATCAGATTAAATGTTATTGTGCTATGTTCACTTCCACTGAGTATTTCAATAATTTTTACTTCCTGAGTAGTATCTAGTTCTCTCACATAAACCAAGTGGAGGAGGGAGTCACCTGCCTAATACATTGGGTCAGGAAGCAGTCATGTGGACAGAGTCCTTTCCATTTTGGAAATGGCAGTTTATACTGAGTTGGTTAATGTCTCCCATCAGTACTATCTGTTTCTCACTCATCCCTCTCATACTGGCCTGAAGAGGCAATACAGTGGCAATACAGTCATATGAACTGCTGATCTGGGCTTTTTCTTGTTAAACAAGAATAATAACAGCATATATATATATATATTAGTGCCCTGCAGGTGGGGTAGAGTCTTGGAGCGCTGTAAGCACACCCCTACTAAAGAATTTTATGAGTGAGAAGGGGATTTGTAGTTGGCTTTCCGCATGCATTTTGGAACCACACCCCAATTTCTTTGTAAGTGAACCCGTGTTATAATGAAGCAAGAACGGGGTTATACTGTAATTACCAAAGCATCCCCCTCTCCCCACTCAATTTATTTTTAATGGATGACAATTTTGCATTTGCGTTTGTTCCAAAAGATTAGCTCTCAATTTAGAAAAGTACAGACCATTATTCCTATAAATATTCCCTCCACAAGAAAGATTCCCCAGTTAGCTAGAAATTACAGTCCCTCCTGCAGACATGATCCCAGTAATTGAAACTTAATTATCCTGTTTATTCTATCCATACTCGCAAAAAATACTACCCTTTAATATCTAATAATAATAAATCTCTAATAATCCTTGCATTTGATATATCGCCTTGTCACGTCTTCAAAATGTCTCATCATTATTTCCACTAACATATCCACGGATTGCAATTTGCCATTTGTTATTTTTAATTTTTCTTCATCTTGGATCTCAGTCTCTCTACACTGACTCCTCTTGAATCCCCGTATGAATGCAATCTTTTGTCACTATAGTGTAGACCTTCACAGATGTTGTAAGCAGCTCTTGTTCCTCCAGTGTGTCTTCAATTGTTTTTAGTTTTTATCTTATCCTAATTAACAATCTGAACTTCTCTAAATTCATGTTTCCTCTTTCGCCTTTTCTTCTAATAGTTTATTATTAGTTTTCCTTTAATTCTGAATGTAGATTCTGCTGTGACTCCTGCATACCTCTTAACGCTCAGTATATCAGACATGATGGCCTTCTTCCATGCTATAAGTTTCTAAATATAAAATTCTATAATCTAGGTCTCACCACACATCTGAGGTGGATCCGAACAAATTTGAACCTGAGTATTTAAAAGGATTATTGTTTCAAACGCACTTTGGATTTGACGGGTTTAACATGAAACCCAACTATTTGTGAATGACTAATCCAGGTATATTTGTTCCTGTCACACACCAATACAATGGTAAACATGGGTTATTGTTTGTTTGTTCATTCTAATAAATTGAATGCAACAGAATTCCCCTCACTTTAAGAAATCAAAACCATAATAACAATAGTCCTTGCATTTCATATAGAGCCTTTTACATCAGGAAGATGTCTCAAAATGCTTCACAGGATTTTACTGTGAAGTGTAGTGACTGTAATTTGTAGGTGACCATGACAGCCAATTTGGACACAGCAATGTCCCACAAACAGTCATAAAGTGAATGGTCAGTTTTATGTGGGAGAGATTGCACTGTACTCATTAAATTGAAGACTATGTTATTGGAATCTGATTGGAAGGTTACTCATGGGATAGAAATTTAGAGGCGCAGTAACTAATCAGTGCAATCAATAGGTTTTAAATGTCCGTCCTGTGTGATAGAAAGTATTGTTAGAGTTTGCTTCTTTTGCAGAATATGTTCGAGTACATGTTACCAAAACAGAGCTTTGATAAAGACTCGTGCGATGATGAGACCATTGCTCCAGCAAAGCTTGAACTACAGCTGGAGAAACAGAAAAATCTGTACGTATCATAGATACAAAAAGAGATGACAAATGGAAATATTCCTTTGCTATGTTGTATGTTGATATTTGCTTTTACTACATTTTACCTGCAGGCTGAAGGACATGTCAGAAGTAATGCAGAAACAACATGAACTCCTGCAGCTGATCATTCAAAAACTGGAAATTAATTCAGAAACAGAAGACCAGGAGGCAATTGAACACCTTCACTACAGCAAAGCAAAAGCTAGCATTTCACAAAAATGAGAAGGAAATAAGATTGTGTGATAGAAGCGGTTCAGTGTAACCAAAGGGTCATTCTATTGAGATACTGCAGTAAGTGGACGTGGTGATTGAAACGCATCACAACAACAACAAATTACATTTGTATAGTGCCTTTCATGTCAGAAGGACGTCCCAAGGTGCTTGAATAAAGAAGCTATTTAATACACAAAATAGCATTGATTGGCTTCTTTATTTGAATGAAAAGAACAGGGTTTGAAACTTGCTTAAGAAAAAGAGTGCATATGATCATTACTAATCGGAACAGCTTAGTAGTTTTACATTCTTAGAACAATAACATCTAAAATCATACTTTCTCTATTCTATGAATTCTCTCTGATGTATTGATACCCGTTTCAAGGAAGGGTGGTCTAAGGATTCCATACAATGAGGCCTCTAATGTGTTATCTTTACATAAACCGAGATAATACAGAAAATGTGCAATCGCTAAAGTCTGAATGAAGGATCAGTAACATTTAGATTGCATGTGGATTTGTAGTAGTATGAAATATAGACTCACTTCCTTTTAGGAAAATTGATCAACTAATAGAAATGTATTAGGAAAAGGTACTCAGTACTTTTTATGAACATGCTTGTCAGAGCTTTAATGAGGAAGGATTCTTCTGGGACAGACTTGATGGGCCCCTTGACCTTCTTTTCACTCTTTGCTGTCTCTGTGCCCATATATCTCTCATTGTGCAAATCCAAGTTGTTGTTGTTGTTGTAATGAGTATTTTTCTTGGGTTCAGAAAAAAGGTGTTGCCCAGCAATTAGTTCTGTTTCTGAATAAACCAGTGGTAGAACAGGAAGTGTTGTTTTGGAAATATAAAATGAAATTTTGCATCTGTATTACAATAATAATAATAATAAATAAATAAAGCAAATCAAACATCAATTAAATAGTGCCCTTGGGATCTTTAACAATAAAATATAAAATTACATTTCATGTCGGGAGGACGTTCCAAGGTGCTGGACAGTCAGGGATTTGGACCCAACCTGGGGATCAGGATCCGGGTGAGTAGAGGGCAGGGAGGGTAGGAGGGTGGCCGAAGGCTCAGTCGAAGAGGAGGGTTTTGAGATGCGCCTTGAACAAGACCTCTGTTTAACATTTCATGTGAAGAACAGTACCTTTGACAATGCAGTGCTCCCAAAGCAGTGCATTGGTATGTCAGCCAGGACCTTGAGCTCACAGTCCCAACGTGGAGCTTGAACCCACTATCTTCTGACTCAGAGGTGAGAGTGCTAACAACTGGGCCAGGCTGACACACATTCTTTTTTGGTTATCTGAGTGTTTGACACATGTATAAATCCATCACCATGCTAAAGAGTGTCCAAACCAAACAGTGCCATGTATCTCACCAATACATAGACATTCCAGCGATGTTTATTGGAATGGAATGCGCACTCTCCCTGGAGGGATGCATCCTGCTTACCTAATTCCGGAAAGTATTCACCACAGGTTGGCAAGAGGCAAAGATTGTTTTGGTATTGCTTGTCTTTGAGGGAACTGCCTGAGAAGCTAATCCTGCTATAAGTCCAGCTGGGATCATCCTACTCATTAGGGCTTTATACATTTTTCATGCCAGACTTGTCAATGAAGAGTTACAATTTTATACCTTGATCATTTTTATAAGTTAATTTGAGCAAAATTATTTATTTATTACTTAAAATTAATAATCCTTCCATTAGATATAGTGTATTTACCATCAGAAGAATGTTTCACAAGATTTACTGAAAAGTGTAGTCACTGTGTATTTTGAGGGAAACACAGTGTGTGTTCAACGATGTACAGTATCTCTGAGGTTTTCATATTCTTTTAATGGTTAGAGACATTCAGTACAATTAAATACTTCATTGCAAAAAGGTTGTACAACTTGCAGTGACAGCACAAAGATGAAAATAAACAAATTATTGATTTATTGAGTTTGAGCCTTCTTAAAATGACTCACATAATGTTTGATTACAGTCTTAATTTATAATTTTTGTATTTGATATTATACTATTGATATTGTCCAGCGTCTTGGGACATCCTCCCAAAGTGAAAGGCACTATAAAAATGCAATTTTGTTGTTGTCGATGCTATTACATTGAAATGTCTCTAAGGCATGCACAGGTAATTGCTGTCCAATTTGGTGACTATATATTATGTTCAGCGACCAATTTATATGCAGTAATGTCCCACAAAGCTATAAAATGAATGAGAATCTGGAGAATTGTTGGCCAGGGAACTGGGAGGAACTCTATTCTCAAATAGCACCATGGGATCTTTAAGATCTTAGCAGGCAGTCACAATCTCAATTTAACAACTTAAGAACAGCATTCCTCAATTATTGCACTGGAGTGTCAGCCAAGGCTATGAGCTCACTATCCTGACTCAGTGGTGAATGCGCTACCAACTGAGCCAAACTAGCACCAGTCTTCTTTTGTCAACTCTTCATTTGAAATTATTCAATAGTCTTTCCCCTCAAGTCCAGTAAAAGGTTGATGTATTCATTCTTTTTATGGTGTTAATGTTCAAATTGTGTTGTATTGTATTGTGTTGTATTTAAGATTATCCTGCACTTTGTATGTGAATTGTAATTTGGTCTCTCACCACTGGATGGTGGCAATCCAGGTTGAATTAATAAATGTGAATAGACATTTATTGTTATATCAGGAAATTGAGAGTTGGGTTCACTGATAGACTGTTTAATAAACATAAATATGCAAATCTTGGCTGTACAATATTAACATCAAATCCAAGAATCTGCCATAGATTTAGAGCTCTGTATTATACACAATAAATACTCATACTATGTTACCATAACTTTTGAAACAAATAATTGCTGCAATATTGTTAAGATCTTGCAAACATATTTACTGTGTTGTTATTATTATAGTATTATTTCACAGCGATCAACTGTAGATTGCCACAGTGCAAGTTTACAATGATTACTGCACATTGCAGCTGACATGGTTTGCAAACTTGTACCTCTTTAGTTAGACTGAGAATTCGGATTGGGGTTGGCTATTTTCAAAAGATGTTGAAAAACCAGGGAGTGGGCGAGATGGCTCTTGGATATGGATCTTACCCTTCAGCTAGGTTTCTCAGAATGAAGCAAATATCACTAAAACGCGAGCCTCTTTTTTGCTATATTGCTATGTAACATTATTATATCACGAATGTGCACCATGTATTAAAAATTAACAACAAAGAGCACCTTTTCTTGAATGCCTACATACACCCTTTTTTTTTTCCGATTGCCAAGTTTCCTCCTTCCCAACTCTATTCCAATTGAGAAGAATTTTTAATTTCAGAATTGTTCATAAAGCCTGCAAAGTATTCAGATCAATCCAAGCATTATTATTATTATTATTATTCGACCATCATATTATCATCATTCCTCTAGTAAATGCAGTCTAAGGAGCAGTACTTATAACTGTCTGCTTTGCTCAGCTAGCATAAGCCTTTGCCTTCAGCTCCTAAACCCCTAATCTATGAAACTCCCTACCTCAATCCTTCTGTTTTACCCCCTCATTATCTTTAAATCCCGTCTGAAGATCCACCTCTTCAACTGCCTTTATGGCCATCTCCCCCTCCCCTTTCTACCTTGTTCAGCATCCAACCTTGCCACTATAAGGTGCTCTGAGACGCTATCCAGTCTGAAGAAGGGATGTGGAGTCCTGTAGCTCAGTGGTGAGAGCACTCGCCTTGCAAGCGAGACACCTGGTTCAATTCCAGACAGGGCGAAACCTTGAGCAAGTTTCCTTACTCCACACGCCTAATAATAATCCTTCCAAAACAAAAAACAATAATAAATTGGTCATTTTCAATCCACGACTGTTTGTGGGACATTGCTGTGCGCAATTGGCTGCCGCGTTCGCCCACAAATATACAGTCAATTCATTTTACAGTATATTCTGTGAAGTGCTTTGAGACGTCGAGAAGACGTGAAAAGCACGACATCAAATATAAGGATTATTATTATGTTATAATGCAACGATCTTCAACAGCTCAGAAATTTCTAAAGCGGAAAACATTGTAAAATGCTATTTCTTTATCACAACAGGAACATTTTTCCTTCAATCTGCCATGCTTTCAAGTTGTAACTCTTTAACCTGTCCTTGAGAATTAACTAATACAATAAAACATAATTCTTAAAGCTAAATTTGGAAGATTTTTGGGTTGGATTGGTTTATGAAATAGCAGAGGATTAAATGTAATCCTCATGTTAGTTGCAGGATCTGTATTTCTTTCAGAGTGATAACTGGTTTTGAGCTGTTTTTTCAGTGTGCTTTATAAGGCAATTTCACTCTAGTTTCTAACTGTGCAGAATATTTATTCAGTATTAGGTTCCCACATAACGTGAAAGCCAAAAAGTCACAGACAGTGACTGTCGATACTGATGAGATGCAGACCCACCTCCAATGTCAGTGCGGGCTCTGAAATCCTTTACTGGCAGAACAGTCCAAGAAAGTTTCTAAGTTTGTCAACTACATTCACCTCCATTCTGACCTCACACTGAGTGGATTCTCACCAAAGGGAATGCACTAGTATAAACGTCACATTAAACCTTGCAGAATTGCAGAACCATAAGAGGAAATTGGAATTAAAGACAATTTATGGGGCATTTGCTCAGTTTATGCAAGGCAATGAGGGTGGTAAGGAATGCTAACATATTCTGTGGTTTGCAAATTATAAAGAATTGTATATTAACTGACAGTGAGTGTATTTTTAAATACAAAACACTGAGAGATCAGAGTGGAGTATCGAAAAATATTTTAATCCTTTTTTATTTTTTAGAATGAGTAGTTTATTAATTACAATTATAATAAAGGGATATGAAAAGGATTTGTAAAATATATTTTGATCAATGTTATCATCCATTGCAGGTCAGCACACTGTGTAAAAAACACAAGATGTAAGGAGATAAAGTCTGAACAAAAATATGACAATTTAATCGACTGTGAATTAATTGTTTTTATAAGTTCTGAATACAGTATCA